AGAGCCCTGCGGGGACAATGAGGACCCTTTAATTAAAGATCGACATACGTTCCCGCTCCTTGCCGGTCTGCTCTTGCCTCTCATTCCCCCATTTCCACTGCACAGCACAGGGGTTAAAATGCCTCTCTTTGGCTGAGCATAGAGGTTGCAGAGGTCACTGGCTAAGGCTTTGTGTGGCATCACAGCCCAAGCGCTTAAGAGCCATTAACGCCCAAGAAAGAGCCCTGCATGACTCATTGGAGGGATAAAGGCATTAGGAAGAGGGCTCTGTTCTTGGATCTTGAGAAAGAGGAAGGAGGAGTTGCCTCTAACCTATCAAGGACTTGAAAGAAACCTATGAGTCGGATGTGTGTCTTAGGCGGGTAAATGAAATAAGGCTGTTTAGTCTGTGCACAAATAATGGACGAGAGTTTTGTCTTTCACCTTATCAATATGTAAATGGGGATTATAAACTAGGAAAGGATCACATGAAGGTGACAGGAGTTATAGCCATACCAGTTTGCTGGCCACTAATATATGCTGAAACTGGTGGCAATATGAAAAGGTGTGTGGGGAAAATTCTTATCCATAGAGTAATGCAAGCAGAAAAGGTGGCTGTCTAGTGTAGTGCCATATTTTGCACCCCCAATTTCAATCTCACCTCAGCCAGGAATTTTCTGTGTGACCAGCACCAGACCTACCATTGGGCAGAGTGAAGGGGCCTCTTGTGTGGCTGAGGGGAGAGGAGCGTTCAGAGTTCCCCCAGCCACTCTTCCTGCCGGGTCCCCTGCTAAGCTAGCCTCCAGGTGCAGTGGAAGATGCCTGGCCCATCACCAGTCCCGGAATAAGATTCAGCTTCCGGCCTGGTCAACTTCTGAGGCCCTGCATGGGCGAGTGAGGCAGCTGCTATTAACCAGAAGGCTGGTGTTCTGAGTCCATGCAGGGACAGGGTTCCTGCATCCCAGGGGATTGGACTAGATGACCCTACAGTTCTATGGTTCTCTAAATGATTTACAGAAATGTAATCAGGATGATGCTGATGAGTGCAAAATGTAAAGCTGCACATGCTCACAAGCCGTGCCACCTGGGCTGCCCTGGGCCCTCTAGGAGCAAAATGGCTTGGCTCCCCAAAGAGACTCAACATGCAGAAGAGCTCTGGAAACAACTTCTGATGGGTTGCTTCAGTGTCCTTGCGAAGGGTGAGCCCTGCTAAATCCACCCGAAACCACACAGTGGCTGTCAGTCACAAAGATATGCCACCTCACTCTCCTGACCCTCACCCTGAACAGTGACATTTTCCTTCCATAGGGAGCTTCCAAGAGGTCCATGAATGTCTAAGTTGGCCTGGCGGGGACATAAAAAGAGCCACACTTTCAAAACTCATCATGTTCTGAAGCTTCAGAGGTAGCCTGAAGGGTCACTTCAGATAAGACTGCTTTCATAGAATCTTAGAGTTGGAAGGGATCCTTGGGATCAACTAGCCCAACCCCTGCAATGCAGGAATCTCAGCCAAAGCATCCCTGACCATCCAACCCCTGATTAAAAGCCTCTAAGGAAGGAGGGTCCACAAGCTCCCACTGTCTGCTGTTGAACGGCTCTTCCTGGGTTACTTTGACGAAGGTCCAAATACTTCCAAAGCAGCCTGCTTTGGGCTCGGAGGCTGGGCTTCTTCTGAAGCCTCTGGTGCCTCTAGCATTTGTGTTCGTTCACAGATAGGAAAGCTGAGCATAAGTGGAGGCAAGTGGAGGCACTCTCTCAGCAGGCAGCAGGTCCCCAGGGCGCTCCTTGAGCAGCACAGCTCCCCACACTCTCCCTTCTGCACTTTCCAGCAGCTCCATCAAGAAACTCAGCAATCTTTCACTTTCTTTCTGTCTCTGCCCTTTCAAAGTCCCAGGCTGCTGTTTTTCACATACACAACCTGCAGAGTCATCTGCTCAGACCCCACTCCTGCAGATGAATTTCCCAATCAGAGATCTTCCAGGATCGCTAACAAACACTAAGAAGTTTTGCCAGCTCCCTGACTGCTCATTCACCATGATCAAGCCAGCCAAGTCTTGCAAAGAGCAAAAGGCTACATTTAGGGCTGTGCATATTATGTGAAAATGGGTGCTTGGCTACTGGGTTGTTTTTTTCTTTCAAAACAACAGCTTCAGGGAGATGGGTTTGACACACACACACACCATGGTCACACCAAAAATCACCAGTCTTGTAGCTACAATTTAACCAATGTCATCTTCCTTGCCAAAGCTTAAGGGCAGGGGGTCATTAGGACCAAGCTGCAGAGAACAGTATTAAATGCCTCCCTCCCAGCTGTTGTGTTAAAAAGAAAACACACACACAATCCTCCCCACCACAAACACACAAATCCTACTGAGTTAAAAGCAACCAGGCCAAAGTGTTGCTGCTTCTTTGGCGATCCCTCACAGCCGAGTAAGATTGTCTTCCATGAACACGGTCTTAACAGTTTGTCCGTAAGTGACTGTGGAGGCCAATTCTGGATCCATACGTTGATCACGGTGAGGGTTTGCCAAGTGTGCCTTCGTCTCTTTCGTCCTGAGTTTGAGCGTCTTCAAAGTCCATGACTGTTCTCCAATTGGAGCGCTCGCAGGCCAGTGTTTCCCAGCTTAATTGTGTTTTATGACCGCTAGGTGGATACCCCGCTGGGTGTGGTAATCCAGTCATGGAAAAAGGGAGGCGGACTATGTTTAGGGCACCTTTTCGGGGTGAGCAGAGTGGATCCTAAAAAGGGCTGCTCAGTCATGGATACAGCTGCCGAACTGCTCAACTTCCTTGTTCCTTGAGTCACAGCAACTGAATCTGTATCCACCACCCATGTGCTGGTTCATGGCTATGGGCTTCCAGATTTCACAGTCCTGCCCCCATTACCATTTGCCTATTACCGTGGGACTTTTTTGGGTTTGGGTTTGGGATGGGTTTTTAGAAGACGCCTGTGCGTTAATTTGTTTTGTGTGTGTAGATCAGTGCACACTGACCAACGCACAGTCTTCGCAGTAAGGCTCTATTCCGATGGCCTGAGTAAATCAAGACGACCGGTAGTTTCTTATCTGCTACAGCCTTCATCCGCCTTCATAGCCATTGTAACATACCACTTGTTATCATCTGCCTGCTCTGCCATTGAGGACTTCTTGGATCATTCTTTGTCTAGCTCCTCCCCTTTGACCTTACTGCCTTGGGTGACCCTGCAGGGAGCACGAGACTCCCGATGGCTTCACTCACAAGGGTTATACCACGACAAGGTGATGATCCAGCGAGTGAGAGGCCAAAGTGCACCTGTTTGCTGGCCCATAAGGTATTGGAAACCATGTACAGTCGTGCCTTGGTTCTTGAATGCCTTGGTACTCGGACATTTTGGCTCCCGGACGCCACAAACCCGGAAGTGGGTGTTCCAGTTTGCGAACGTTTTTCAGAAGCCAAACGTTCAACATGGCTTCTGATTGAGTGCAGGAAACTCCTGCAGCCAATTGGAAGCCATGTATTGGTTTTTGAACCATTTTGGGAGTCAAATGGACTCATGGAACAGATTAAATTCAAGAACCAAGGTACGACTATATATGAAACTATCTTCCATAGGATATTTGTGAGAAGCAGAAGCAAAGGATCTTCATGTCATTAGCAGGGCTCACTGGTCAGGCACAGCTAATCCAGGGCTTTGGTGGGTTGTAAAGTACACCTTTGACTGTGCCATTCATTCATTCATTCATTCATTCATTCATTCATTTTTATTATGATCAATAGACCAGAACCAGCAATAAATTTGAGCTGCAAGCAGTAAGGATATTGACTTGAAACTGAGGGGGAAAGAAAGAAATACAACTTAAATCTTAAGCAATAAGTAGATAGCAACAAATAAATCCCTTTGAATAAATAAATAGATAGATAAAAAGCTATAAGGACATGTAAATAGAATATTATTGTTGTTGTTGTTTAGTCGTTTAGTCGTGTCCGACTCTTTGCCCATGCCAGAGCACGCCAGGCCCAATAGAATATTATGGGGTGTAATAAAATACAGCATTTAAAATAGTTGGCATGAAGGCACACACACACACACACACACCCAGTCACACTGCCATCTCACTAAGAAGAAAACCTTCAAACCCTCCGCTGTTTTATCACCCTCTCTGCCAATGCTAAAGACTTTGCAACTACCAAAAACTACCAAAAAGAGAGAAAACCTTATATAGTAAATTGTTGGTCTGCCAGGTAAGGGACCCATCAGGTGACTAAGCAGGTGTCTGAAATGCCAGAGCAGAAGTTGCAAAGCAAACAGGGGTCTATGTGGCACAGTTGCCTCTGCTTGGAGGCTCAGTGTCATTGTCATGGCCCAGAGACACTGATAAACCTCCCTATTATTCAGTTCAGTTCCCTTCTCCAGTTGTCTGAGCTGGTGACCGTGTCTTGTAACCATGAATTTCATGGATTAACACTGCCTTACGTGAAATGACTCTTTATTTTGTCTCTCCGGAATTTGATCCTAAGTCACATCAAAGTGCAAGTAGATCAATAGGTACCGCTCCAGCGGGAAGGTAAACGGCGTTTCCGTGCACTGCTCTGGTTCGCCAGAAGTGGCTTAAGTCATGCTGGCCACATGACCCGGAAGCTGTACACCGGCTCCCTTGGCCAATAAAGTGAGATGAGCGCCGCAACCCCAGAGTCGTTCGCAAGTGGACTTAACGGTCAGGGGTCCCTTTACCTTTACCTTTTTAAGTTCCAATATGAGAGGAAGAAAATAATTTTGCCTCCACATTCTGCCTACTTTGATAAACCTCTATCTTCTCCCTCCCCTAGTCATCTTCTTTTTCTAACCCCAAAGCCCCAAATTCTTAAGCCCTTTCTCACAAGGAAGATATGTTGACCCCTTGATCATTTGGGCTTCACTGTTTCCAGCTCCGTTATAGCCTTGCCTAGATAGGGCTTACGGGAGTGTAGACATTAGTCCAAATGTGGGAGATAATATTTTAAAAATCTGTATCTGGAAGGTGACTTAATATTGTTGGCTCCAGGTGTTTGTTTCTGCGGGAAAAGCATCTGGGCTAGAGAAGAGGCCAAGAGACCGAGGCCATGGTGCCTATCACAGCACAACCACCGACTCAGAGCTCTCTGAACTTGAAGACAAAGTGGCCTTTGCAGTGGCGCAAGTGCAGCACACAGAGAGCGAGGTAATCCTTGGTTTTGGGAAGTCAAAAACTTTCAGAAACAAAAGCAGAAAATTACCGTATTTTTCGCCCTATAGGATGCACTTTTTCCCCTCCAAAAATGAAGGGGAAATGTGTGTGCGTCCTATGGGGCGGATGCAGGCTTTCGCTGAAGCCTGGAGAGCGAGAGGGGTCGGTGCGCACCAACCCCCCTCGCTCTCCAGGCTTTGGGAAGCTTTCTGCAAGCCTTGCAAGCCCGGCGGGAGTTGCTGCCAGGCTCGCAAGGCTTGCGGATGGCAGCCTGTTCTGGGGGCTGGGGTCGGGGGAAGCTCGGACTTCCCCCGCCCCAGCCCCGCAGCTGGGGGGGGGAAATAATTTTTTTTTATTCATTTCCCCCCAAAAAACCGAGGTGCATCCTTTGGGCCAGTGCGCCCTATAGGGCGAAAAATACGGTAATCATTATTATTTGTAAATATAGATCACCCTTCCCTCCTGAAGGAGCTCAGAGTTGTGTACAACATAAAAAAACACCTGATAAAACATCCACAATTCAGTGAGAAGTTACAATATATGATGCTCCCAAATGTTGCCAGTCAGCCTACTTTTGTTGAAGTGGGTCTCCAAGTGTTGATAAGTTCCTAGCCCAAATCAGACTTAACTGGTCCCTTTGACACTTGAAACACCCTTACGGGATGATTCAAGAGGATACAGGGGTGGTGGAAAAGTAATAATTGGTTCTAATGAAAATGTAGTCTCTTCCTGTCATGTCTTACCACTGCTAGCACATGACCTCCATGTTACTGCTATGGAATCAGAGTGAAACCCATAAAATGCATTGAATGAAGCACACTTTTGAGAATGTCTGGTGTTTTATGTCCTGCTAACATGGACCATAACTACCTTCACTGGGAAATGACATGGGCTCTTTGCTCTCAAGGTATCCGATATAGAATCTCGAATAGCTGCTCTCAGTGCTGCTGGCCTGACTGTTAAACCAGTGGAAAAGTCTAAGAAGAAATCAAGCACCCAGGTGAGTAGACCAGAGTTTTGCAAAGAATGGGAATACTTATTCATGAACTCTGGAAGGAGACCTTTTGGTAAATGTAGTTCAGTTTAAAACAGGTTGGAGACCATTAGTATTGCAGTAATAAATAAAATTCAGCTGCAATAATGAAATGGTACACTAGCGTTTCCCCATGGCTAAATGTGGAAGTGGCCAGGGACTGAGCTTAGAGTCATGGAAGGCTTTCCATGAAGAAGACACTTTGCCTGTGGACAACACTTTGTTGCTTTCTAGGGTTGTGATTCTAAGAATACTTCCTGGCAGTAGGTCCGATTACACCTGGTGGGGTTTCAGAATAGGCATGTTCAGTATTATGCTTCACACCTGAGTTCTTAATCATTTCATTTATATAGCTCTTTATAGGGCAACATAAGCAAAAACTGGGTCCCTGCCCTGAGGAGTTCACACTTCAGCTTTAGAGAGGTTTGGGAAGGAAGGCAAGAGCAGAGAATGGAGAGGCGTATGCCATTACGTGGACTTAGGCTTTGTTTCCGCTGGGGATAAGGACCAAGGAGTTAAGTCAAGGATATCTTAGTTAAGATGCATTTTGCTTTGGTGCTTGAAGGCAGAAAGGCAACGTCTGAGAGATGTTCTGGGAGGAAGCTATAGGCATAAGAGGCAGCAAAAGAGAATGGGTGGAGAAAGCAGGTTTGTGGACAAAAGTAAAAGCAATTGCTATGAAGTAAACTTTTAACAAATATTAACGACAATACTAATAATACTAATACGTACTACTGTTTGGTGGTTACAGCTCTTATCCACAGCACTGTGAATATTATGTAGGAATCAAGATTTGCCTAAGTTTAATCACCAAAGGACGTAAGCCAAAGGCCCACGCAGTCCAGCCTCCTGTTCTCACAGTGACCATGGGAAGCCTGCAAGACGGACACCAGCACAACAGCCCCTCTCCCTGCTTGCAATCCCTGAATTCAAAGGCAGGCTGCCTCTGACACTGGAGACAGAGCAGAGCCACCATGGCCAGTAGTCCCTTGGTTACAAGAGTAGCCCCAGACTCTGCATGCAAGCGCCACACACCAGGGCATACTCTTGGAACAGTCTCACTCACTCCTTCTGCGATGTTATATAGAGACCTCATTTTAGTTTGGCTTTGCACATAGCAGGTGGAGGTGCACAAGCCAGGAGCCAGGTACTCTCTGAACAGGACACCAGCCAGGGGGTGGGGCTGAGGGAGCAGAAAAGGGCGGGGTGAGCCATCTTGACATAACCTGCCAGTTTCTAGTTGAGGTGTGCTTGCTGGTCTGTTTTTTGCTCTACAGCAAAGCAGAGCAATATGTTTCATTTCTTCCATCCCCAAGGTGTTTATCCTTCAGCCTCCCAGGAACTCTTATAGTTCTCTAGAAGATCAGAGTCCAGACACTCCTGTCGCAGCGTCAGCCGGTGACTTCAAAGTGAGTGCACGTGCCTTATGGAGAGGCAAGCAAGACCAGAATCCGTTAGCAATTTGCTGGCCAAGAGATAAATCTGTGTTAGAGGCCACCATGGGGGATTAAACAATGCAAACTGAATAAAACTGAAAAAGAGACAAAACAGGATTATGCTCGGAACACAACATTGGCATGCGGCTTTGAACCTCTCTCTGTTTGTGTTTTTGTAGGGTGGTTCAAGGGCTTCCCTGGCTCTCTTAAAAACAACAACAACAATGTCTAGCTGCTTGCTGTTGGTCACTGAAATCCTTTGATTATATAGTCCTGGAACCAGCCATGCCTTTCAGCCTGCCACCCATTCCTGGGTTTGTGTGTGGCGAAAAAGATGGCTGCCCCCAGGAGAGTGTCCCTTACCTTGTTTGCCTTGTAAGGAGGGAAAGGTGGCTGTGACCCAAGCAGCCAGATTTTTTAAAAAAGTAAAAAGGAGCCAGGACAGCCCTCAGATCATAAGCGCTTTCAAATTTTTGAATTTTTTATAAAGGGTGTAGATTTAATTTTTTAAATATTTTTTAGAATTTATTTTTTTGAAAAACCATTTTGCCTAAAATCTCACAATGGATGTTTGCTGGAATTGATATGCAAGGGGCCGTATTAGGAGCATCCCATCCACCCCCATCATCCTTGACATAAATATTAAACAGGATAAAAATACGGAACCAAGATAATAGTATAACTACACAATATGTAGGACTGCCGAAAGCCTTAAAAAGGGGCAGGACTGGACCCTTTCTCCTTGGAGTGCCTTATATATAAGGGTGGGTGTGCTTATGCATGGGGGGTGTTTGTGTATACCCCGCCACACACAAATGAAAGAATAGTTGGGCATTCCTACAGTCTAAATGGCAAGTTATTTGCTGTCTCCAAACATAAATACACAGGAAAGGCAGAACACAAGCTAAGAGCAACCAAGATAAACTGAAGCCTACCACTCAAACTGTACCTTAGGAACCTCAAAGCAGAAACCTGCCCTTTCCTTAACTATGGAATGTGAGTCCCAAGGTCTTAGCAGTACAGTGGTACCTCGGGTTAAGTACTTAATTCGTTCTGGAGGTCCGTTCTTAACCTGAAACTGTTCTTTACCTGAAGCACTACTTTAGCTAATGGGGCCTCCCACTGCCACCGCGGCACCAGAGCACGATTTCTGTTCTCATCCTGAAGCAAAGTTCTTAACCTGAAGCACTATTTCTGGGTTAGCGGAGTCTGTAACCTGAAGCGTCTGTAACGTGAAGCGTATGTAACCCGAGGTACCACTGTACTTCTGTTGGTCTCTTGACACCCAACATTATAAAACTGCAAACAGAACTAGGCTGAACGTAGTTGGGACCCACCATCCCATAGAGGTGAGGGGGTGGGGAGGGGAGAAGAATAGGTTGCTTAACATTCCTAACATCTCTAACTGTACTTACACACCATAATATAAATGTTAGGGTGGGATGGGCATGACCGTCCATCAGGTGTGAATGAAGTTTCAGAAAAGCTGTGCTTAAGCTGAGGTAGAAGAGCCACGACGAATGCTGATCCACACCTTGGCTTGTTTGCACTCTAATTACGTTTGTACTCCTTTTAGGTAATGTCTATGCCACATGTGTTGAGGAGAAAATTCAACACTTCACTTGAAACTGCAAGTAAGACTTGTGCTTATTTATGTATGAAGTAGAGGGAAAGGCTTAGTGGTTTGGAGAGGGAGAGTTTTTTGCAGTAAGCCTGGGAATCCCCCGCTTAGGAACGGCTGTCCAAAGTATAGCTAGAGTTCAGTTATTGTCTGTTGGGGGTCTCTGAAGTTGTGGACCCTGATCTGTCCACATACAAAGAAATGTTCTGAGCAACTAAGAAAACCACAAAACCTCTCTCTGAAAGTTAGTCTTTTTACAGGATTGTCTGATAATATAAAACACAAGACAGCTTTAAAAGTATTATAACTTTCAAAAATTAATCAATTTCCTTGAGAAATATTAAATTGCTCACAATGAACTAAGAAAAAAAGGAAAACATAAAATCGACAGATTTACAAATTCTTGGCCTGACTTCAAACATTCTACCGTTCTGATTTCATTCTAAAATGGGCTTATACTGACCTGTAGTAAAATTTAAAGTCTTGAGTAGGCTAGGAATGCAACATTGATACGTCTATCCATGCCATGAGCCATTTCTTCTACAGGTTTTCTGTGACTTTCCCCAACAATTTTTTTGGCAACAGTGACTCTTCTTAAAAATTCTAACAAAGTTCAGACCACTGTGTTCAGCTGCCCCCTGCACCCCTGAGTGCCCCATGTTTTCCCCACAATGGTAAAATGCTGCAAATTTTCCCAAAGTAATTTCCTGTGGCAGCTGCACTGCTTCTGAGTTAATTGCCTCTTGCTTCCTTATTCACAGCTCATCTCAGTCACAGCACTGAAGTGGCCAGAGATGTTTTGTCTGTGGTTTTCACAGATCTATAGGCCAGTGTGTTGAACACTTGAAGCACACTGTACACGTGTTTGGTATTATTAAATGCTAATGATAAACCCCTTTTGTAGAAGGGCTGGTTTGGAATGGGGAAAAGTAGTCATTCTCCCACAGAGCCACAGATCCTTACCATTAAACTTGAATGGTGAAGGAGTATATTTCTTGATCTGGGCTGTGCAATGTCGTCTCTGTTGTTCCGGAAGAAGTCACCCAGTCTCGCCCTTAAAGGGCAGAAAATAAACTGGCTGACTTTTCACTCTGCTTATGCAGATAGAGTGAAAATATAGTCAAAGGAGAGTAGCCTAATCACTCATAGTTTTCATACTGGAAGGGGAGAGGAGCCATATCTTCCTGCCCCTCTCTCTCAGGGGTCGATGATGTACCAAGTAGCTGAAGGAAATATGCAGATAGGAGAAATTGGAAACAGACAGTAGTAAATTGGGAGATTATTTTGGAAGAGATTCAAATGTCTGACTTCATGCATTTGTCTTTAATGGTGCTACAGTCCCATCCCAGAGGGAGTCCTGATGGGATTTTAAAAGCAACAGAACACCCCAGTGTGAACACTATTCATTACCTTTGCATGACATGAATCTGCAAACACAATATTATGGTGTTGCTGCTTTACCCCCTATTTTGGGGAGGCCTATTGGAAAAAATGCGTAAGCTTCTAAGGAACCACACCGAATCGCAGAAGTGTGTGTGTGTGTGTGTGCGTGTGTGTGTGTGTTGCAGGACTCTGCTTTCCCCTTTGGCCCATCCCACCCCCCTGATTTTGTCTTGCTGGCAATACTTTTCTGATTAGAAATCAGACTTTGTGACTTTGTGCAAAGGTTTCTGGCAGAATAGTTCCATCCGAAGACTGATCTCCAACATTGTTCAGATTGACTCCTCCTGCAGCAACAGGACCTCCTCTTTCTTCTCCTCTTTCAACCTTCCAGGTTGTGTAAATCTGCTCCAGAGGAAGGGGAAATCCCACAGCATGAGGGGAAGTTTGTTCCACTCATAGACAGATCCAGTTAAGTGTCACCCAAAGCATTTATTTGCTGCCACAGCAAGAATAAATGTAGAAATCCAAGTAGCTAAATAATGAACACTTGCACCAGCCCTCTGGTACCACATTTCAAGTTGCTGATTTAAACAGCTGCAGCAAAATCTTTCCCCCTCCATTTGCAGAATGTTCAACTGTTTCATACTTCAGACCCAAAGACTTCAAACTATTTCATGTTCAGGTGTTTACTTCTTAAAATATACATGCAGAATCCATGGAAACGAGGTCCCAATCATTGCCCGTGCAAATATGCTGGCACAAGTTCTATATTTGGGCACCATTGATGCCAAAGGTGAGGCATATGTGCCCAAGGTCAAGAAGTGTTGTCAGAATATGTCCCCAGACCACTTGAGTTCTTCAATGGAAGAGTTGCTTTTGTTCATGACTGCATGGTAGATCCCTGTGGATGTGTGCCACCAGAAGGGGTGACCCCACAACTAGTTTTTGGCCAGCTAGGCTTTTGCAACTTGCTAAAAGCCAAGTACAGTGGTACCTTGGGTTAAGAACTTAATTCGTTCTGGAGTTCTGTTCTTTGCCTCAAACTCTTCTTAACCTGAGGTACCACTTTAGCTAATGGGGCCTCCCGCTGCTGCCGCCGCACGATTTCTGTTCTCATCCTGAAGCAAAGTTCTTAACCCGAGGTACTATGTCTGGGTTAGCGGAGTTTGTAACCTGAAGCATCTGTAACCTGAAGTTTCTGTAACCCGTGGTACCACTGTATAACTCTTTCAGAACAAGGGGAAACTTTCTTGTGTGTCAAAGCTCATTTTAAAATGACTGGGTGTTTCTTGTTTTGGTCATCGTTACAGTACTCTTTTATGCTATGGATTGTATGTGATTTTTTTTTTAGTGGTGGATAATTGGCTGTATTAAGGAGTTTCATGGTTTAACATGTTGATGTGGGTTTTAATTGTACTTTTGTGGTTTTATGTTGTAAGTCACTTGGAATACTTCTGCAGATAGACAGACGAGCAGGTAGAGTCCCCCAACATCTGCAACAAGAGTGCAGTTTGTCAGTTCTTGTACTGATCTACCAACATATTCCCATTTTCCCTTGTGAGCAGTTTGGGGTGTCCTCCTCAAGGAATGCCTGGACTTGGCTGCAGGTGGTTCCATTTCACCAGAAAACTGCCTGATCATCACACAACATATGTTCTCTCACCTTTGTAGTTCCATGGAGGTTCAGGAGTTTGCAACTAGAGCTCAGAAGTGAGGTTGTGTTCTTGCAAGCATAGTCTTTGCCTGAATGATTCTTATGGTAATAGCATAATGTCATAGGCCCAGTCTGGGCTAGCAAGCAAAAATATTATGCCACTCACTCTGAGTCATCCATGGTACACTGAAATCTTATCCTGCTCTTTTATTTACATGTGCCAGATTCACCCTGCAGCAGAAATAGGCATGCATTTTTAAAAAAAGATGGGACGTTGCAAATTTGGCCAGTGCAGTTTTTGAAGTCCTATCTTTGCCCATGTGTAGCGCAGACTAGTGGATTGATTACTGGACAGTGTCTTGAAAAGTGTGGGTTCAGTGTAGTTAACTAGAGTGTTGGGCTTAAAACAAGTCGATCTGGGATTAAATCCCCACTTAGCCATGAAGGGACGCGGGTGGCGCTGTGGGTAAACCACAGAGCCTAGGACTTGCCGATCAGAAGGTTGGCGGTTCGAATCCCCGCGACGGGGTGAGTTCCCGTTGCTCGGTCTCTGCTCCTGCCAACCTAGCAGTTCGAAAGCACAAAAGTGCAAGTAGATAAATAGGTACCGCTCCTGCGGGAAGGTAAATGGCGTTTCCATGCGCTGCTCTGGTTCTCCAGAAGCGGCTTAGTCATGCTGGCCACATGACCCGGAAGCTGTACGCCAGCTCCCTCGGCTAGTAGAGTGAGATGAGCACTGCAACCCCAGAGTCGGCCACGACTGGACTTAATGGTCAGGGGTCCTTTTACCTTTACCTTTAGCCATGAAGCCACCAAGAGATGACAGACCTTCTCTCAGCCAGACCTCCCTCAAAGTGGGGGATGGGTAAGTCTCAGCATCATTGTCCATGAAAGGGGAATGAAGTCTTCTCTCACTGGACTAGTCTGAGGTTTGAAGTGTTGCTATGTCCTCTGAATTTTAGAAACAGCCACTTATAAACGGGTTCAGCTGTTTCCTTCATTAGGTTTCACAGACAATTAGATTTGATCCATAGTCATTTACACCCGGTCATAAGAGAATGTAAAATGTTAACCACATTGAGTGGTACTTTGGCCTGGTATAAATAACTTCATGCAGTATAAATTGCTATATAAATGTGTCCTGAAATGCTGCCAGCAAGATACATTTTGTGCCCATGTTGTGTCATTCCCCACACCCTGAAATGCCAGCCAGCTCCAAGCTACAGAAACCAAGTCATCTATGTCCCTCTCTAGCTGGTGCCTGAACACACTGTGCTCAAAAAAATATTAAGAGCTGATGCATTGAGCTACGAATTGGGGAGTCCTTGCTTCACATCTTACCTCTGCCATGAACCGAGGTGGCCTCAGGAAAGAGACCTTCCTCTCACTCAGCCCCCCCCCCCAATATGGCAGGAGTCATTCTCACATCACAGAACTGTTCCAAAGATGACAGCAAGATAATGCTTATGAAGCACTTGGCAGCACTGTGCACAGGCTACATGTTAAAATACTTGTGTGTATCAGCAATGGAGGGCTACAAAAAGAATTCCAGTGTTGATAAGAGCGAGCTTCTGAAAACGAGTAGGAAGTCACAGATTAGTTCAGGTTAGTGTCCTGTGACTAGGGATGGGGAAATCTACCCATCTCCTTTCTCCTGTTTCTCATTTTTCCAGGCTTAAGTTCAGTTCTCCTTATTTCCTTATTTCCACACCAGTTTGCAGTTTATTTATTTTTAAGTCCTCGTGAAAATTCATCAGTATTTTAATTTTCAGATTTCTCCTTCTATTACATATTTTTGTGTGCCACTTTACCTAGCATACACACTTTTTGCAAAGCAATTTCCCTAATATTTTGCATCTTATTTTCTAAAATATGCATGATTACGCACACCATGTCCCAGTAGGTGCATTTTTTTCACATTACTTGGCTGGAGAACTGCAAGATTCAGAGAAGGGCAAACTTCAAAAGATGGCTGTTCCAATCCATTCCATTCACTTGCTTTTGGGGAAAAAGCAAATTTGGTACTTTCCCTTTTAAATGTGGACTGAATTGGACTTCTCCCTCCTCCCCCCAACTCCCTGTGACTGAATAGACTATGAATCACTCAGTCAGCAAATCTTCTGAATGATGGAGATGTGGAGAAAGCCATCTGACCTGCATGGATAAATGGGCTCCCAGATAGGCCTCCTCAAAGGCTTCCTCTCCAAGCAGATAGTTCTAGAAAAGCTCTCTAAAGCAAAACAGTCGGTCGCAATGTCCTAACAAACGCCTCTGCCTTCCATTTTTCAAGACAATGCTGAATCATTTGCTCGGAACTCCAATTACAGAGGATCTTTGACACAGCGAAATCCAAATGGAAGAAGCAGGAAAGCAGATCACATCTTTGCGGCAAGTATTCAGAATCCAGCTCATTGCCCTTCTATAAGCTGAAAGGTAGTAGACTAGCCAGGGACAGCAGAGAGGAGTTAGTGCAGGCCACCCCAAATCGAGATGCAGAAGGAAAACGGAGTTTTGTTTCTTGATCAGAGATTATAAGTATGTAGGCAATTCAAAATGGGAGAGGTACAATCTTTCATGAGTCCAACTCCTGTTAATACGAGAACATGCATATCCTTGAATTATGCAAAACTCCTTATCAGACATAAAACCTCAGCGCCTAGGACTTGCCGATCGCATGGTCGGCGTTTCGAAATCCCCGCGACGGGGTGAGCTCCTGTCTTTCGGTCCCAGCTCCTGCCCACCTAGCAGTTCGAAAGCACCCCTAAGTGCAAGTAGATAAATAGGTACCGCTTTATAGCGGGAAGCTAAACGGCGTTTCCGTGTGCTGCGCTGGTGCCGGCTCACCAGAGCAGCTTCGTCACGCTGGCCACGTGACCCGGAAGTGTCTCCGGACAGCGCTGGCCCCCGGCCTCTTAAGTGAGATGGGCGCACAACCCTAGAGTCGGACACGACTGGCCCGTACGGGCAGGGGTACCTTTACCTTTTACCTTATCAGACATTAGACAGAATGAAAAGCAGCTGATTAGAAATTTCACAAAATGAAAGTACCATGCCTTTTGGTGACAGCCATATTGCCCAAACGTTTTGTCCTCGACATCTGTGCATTCTTGGGTTCTGCTTTAACCCTTTAACTGTCTTAGTATGGTTCCTTACTTTGCCCTGGGGTGCTTCCAACACAAGAAAGATAGCTTTGTGGATATCTTTTTTGCTATAACTTTATTAGTGGTAGAACCCTGTTCGGTGAAAAGAGTACACTACAGGCGACTCTCCATTTAGGTGGGGTTACATTCAAATCCCTGTGCACAATCAAGGGATCGCCTGTATCAGCTCAGCAGTTGCATGGGAAGAGTTTCCCTCATGTCAGCTGTGCAAGCCCCACTGTCCCTCTGGACTCACGTGAGCCAAAGGGACAGAAGGGCCTGCACAGCTAACCAGAACAGCTTACCACCCTGTTTCATCCCTGCTCACTGAGTATCTCTGAAACGACCACCTTCACACCCTGCAAACAGTGAAATGGGGAATGTGGGTGAACAATTTTGGCCCATCCTCATTGATACCAGAAGGGTTCTCATCAATGTTTTGATACTTTACAGAAGCCTGTGATGACCCATCGCTCTTGAACAGAATGAAGTCTTCTAAGACCTCAACTCAAGATTTCATCCCTTCATTCTATTTTCTTTCTTTTCTTCTTTCCATCCGTTCACCTGCAGTGCTAGATCTACACATTTTCCTTCAGGGGGCAAAAGCCTGCACTGCTCCCTCCCTTTGCCTGAGTCAGGAAACAGGAAAGAAGCAGGTTGGAAAAGAATTCTCTGGGCAACATCCCTTTGAAATTTGGTTCCTACATTCATTGCAACAGCACACAGAGCCCAACTTAGTAAAAGGAATTTCTGTTCTAGGATTGACTTAATTACCTGCCCACATCTATTGAATAGGACTCGCAGCTAAAATGTTTTTTCTTCATGCACGGCTAAAGTATGTGTCCGTATTCTGATCATTTGGGCTGGTGAATTAAAGTCATGTTATGCTGGTTTCAGTGCTCAGCACTTCACAGTGCCCTGCAGTAATCAGGAGGGTTTTTTCAAGGGTCTGGAATATGGAACCAGAAGGCAGAATGCTGGGCTTTCATCCTTAGCTGCCTTTCAGTATCAGATGATACAGAACCCCCAGAACAGCACGCAGAGGAGAGGGGGGAAATTCTGTCTGGCAAGCCAAAGTGCTTGCTCTGATGGAACGTTTGATCGCCTTAGTGCAACGTGGGATTCTTCCCCAAGTGTCCTGTGGTTCCTTGAAGACTAACAAATTTACTGTGGCATCATAAATGAACTAGAGCCCATTTTGGAGCCCCATGGCAACGCAGGGCACAAGGAGAGCCTTGCTAGACCAGACCATTTCCCACAGTGGCCAACTAGATGCTCATGGTAAGTCCACCAAAGAGAGCAGGAGCAGCACAGTCCTCTGACCCTCTTCCTCCCCAGTGACTTACACCACAAATACATAGGTTTTTGTCAGCCTTCAAGGTTCACAGAACTCTGTTGGTTTTGGCATGCCAACGTCTTGCGGCTCTGCCTCGTTCTGGAATATATTAGGGCTCTGGTGCTTAGCCAGGAGTGCAGGCCGTGGTTGCACAGGCATTAATCAGAGAGGCTTTCAGCTCAAATTTCTCCATGCAAGGCATCTGCCTCTTCAGAGTTGCAGAAATGGTTTGTGCATTTTAAAAAAGTTATGGGGTGGGGGGGAGAGAGATGAGAAACTAAAATGGCAGGAAGTAAAATGGCAGAAACAGTGGAGCAACCATGGCAGAGTGGAAGGTCAGGACTTTTCAAGGTCTGGTCCCTGGTACCTCGTAGACAATACTGGGCAGAGCAGAGGCAGAGATGCTTGTATGATCATGCCATTCCTTCCATGTTATAGTAGCATGTGTCTTTGCAGAGCTTTAGGTGGATGAAGAGCAGGCTTATGAGTAACAGAGCTTAAATGAGATATGAAAAGAATCCCCTATTCCATATGCTCTAGCAGAGGAATGCAAAATTATTTCTCCTATTTCTGATAAGCACATTAAGTAGAGGCTCAAGGAAGCACATCTGAATTGCTGTTGAAGGTCAAACATTACAATAGGCAGATAGACTCACAGTCGCAGACCTGACTTCTTCCCTCTGCAAGTTGTCATGATAAATAAGTGATAGGATAGTTAGCTTTCAAGCCTGATTTCAGCTTACTTCTGAGTTGTATAGAATTGTACTGTATTCTTCAGGTATCCTTTGAATCCTCCTCAGGATAAATCAAATGTTATGACAAACTTGCAAATTTATCCCAAAGAAATTGGTACCGTGAGCCAAATGACACAATTACATTTCGCCCTCACGTAGTCCATCTGGAGTTTCTGTTAAAGTGCATCAAATTCCACATTCGATTCATTTCCATTTTTATTTCTTTTCTTTTACTAAAATCCAAACCTTTTTTTTTTTTAAACACAACCATACAGTGTCATCCTGAATGTCCAGGATTTATATGGCACCACTCCTATATGACTGGCACTCAGACACATGGAGATACAGGAATGCAATTTTTACCACACACTGAGGGGTAGTCAAAGGACCCTTAAAATGTGTGCAACTGCCTCCTTTGCTTGTAAAGCTTTGCCCTATGAACAAAGCACAAGAAAGCACCAAAGGCTCCTGCTAAGACAGCTCACTGCATCGCTGGCAGGAATCCTCTTATGCTAGGAAGCATTTCCTCATTGCAGCAGCACCCTGAAATTTGTCTCATTTGCCATCAGCCTTTTAAGTGTCCCACATCCCCTCCAGTGATGTCCATTAGTTTCATGATGCAATCAAAGGCAGAAGTGCGTGTTGCCTTTAGTTCCACGGTTCTTTATCCCAGGGCTATTTTTATCGGATAACGTAGCTGTTGCGCAAAGGACCAGTGGAAGGCGGGGGCAGCAATGACCACCCCAACCGAAGGCTCCTCACAACTGCTTTACCCATTTAAAGAGAAGCCCTCGGGACAAAAGATGTAAAGAGCATCGCCTCATGTCTCCTTTTGGCCTAAGATAAAACATAGTCATTCTGCTCATCTAAGCCGTTGGCCTCTATCTATGTATCTATCATATGTATATGCTAAATCATTCAATAAACACTGGCATTGTGTTCCTATTAAGCAATGTTTCCCGCAGTATCTTTTTTTCCTTCCTGATTTCTGGAGGGAGATGGGGAGGGCAGGGCACTTCATTCCTACCAGCTCACACTTATGCCTTAACCAGCTAGTGCTAATAATGTCGTGTGTGTGTGTGTGTGTGTGTGTGTGTGTATAAAGGAAACAATTTTTTGACGCCAAAGTGGAAAATGAAAAAATCTGCTAGTGAGAAATATAGCACACCATCCCTTTATAATTCCATCTTGATTACCACACGGGAGGAAATTATTTCAGGTAGCAGAGCGAATACTGTCCAAATCTGATTTGTGAGATTTTGAACCACAGAAGGTTTGTTGTCAAACACAGGTCTTTTAAGCAAGGTAATATACTTTATGTTCTTGAATGGAAAGGCTTGATAGTTTATCAGCGCACAAAACAAAAGAGGCATTTTGTCATAGGTTTTCAGGCCAGCCTACAATGCTATGTAATTCCTAGCATTTCAAAATGGGATGGTGTAAACCTAACAGTGGAAGAGGCTAGGAACTTCCTGAAAAGCCAAGGCTGCATGGGCCGTGCCTTTAAAAGAGTTGTTGCTTCATTACAATTCTTTGCTTGTGTTTGGATGATCTGACATTCCAAGGATGTCTCAGAGAAGATTGGTGCAGAGGGATAAAATGGAGATTCTGCCTTATCTCCTGGAAGTGAACCATATCCAGTCATTTCAGGACTTATCTAAGTTTCTGCACAAAAGTTTTATTTGCTGGAATGTCACCAGAAAATCATCCCAAGAAATGAAAAAACTCAAAGCAGGGACAGGGCCTTAATGGAGGAAGAGGCTCCTCAAAAGCCCTCAGGAGTCCTGGGTGGGCTGCATCTGTAAAGTAAAGGGCCATTAGAGGTTGCTGGGCACCCACACAGTTGATGGGCATTGCCAGCATTTTTTTTCCTGGGGGTACTCAAGGGTACACAATACCGGCACTCCCCCCCCCATGTTAAAAGTGTGAAACTTACTGTAACAACTTCATGGTTACTGACACCTTTTTATCTTCTTTTTTTTAAAAAAAAAGCACTGGGCATTGAAGAGTTTGGACTTGATATCCCGCCTTTCACTCCCCTTCAGGAGTCTCAAAGCGGCTAATATTCTCCTTTTCCCTTCCTCCCCCACAACAAACACTCTGGGAGGTGAGTGAGGCTGAGAGACTTCAGAGAAGTGTGACTGGCCCAAGGTCACCCAGCAGCTGCATGTGGAGGAGCGGAGACGCGAACCTGGTTCACCAGATTACAAGTCTACCACTCTTAACCACTACACCACACTGGCTCCTTCCCATTCAAATGGTGTGCATGTGCCATATCTTGTGATCAGTTATGTGGGGAAGGCTTACCTGCCCCCCATATTTTATTCAAGTTGACACCCCTGGAGTCATTGACAGCTAGGGCTGGCAATCTTAAGTTCAGTTCTTCACATTTCCACAGAAATTCATGATTTTTTTCTCTTTTTCAAAAAAGGCCTTGGAAAAATTCATCACGATTTCTGTACAAATGTATCCTCCAGCACATTGCTTTGTATTTTTCATATGCAATTTCCCCTGTTGTGCACATTTTGTAAAGCAGTTTCCTCATACAAGCATATTTTTGTCTGTTGCCTCCACTGATATATGCATTTTTACAGTGGTGGGCTCTGGGCTCTTGGAATTCAATGGCGCCGCTGCGTGCAAGGCTAGAATTCAGCTTCCCTGCCTCTTGGGCTCCATTCTACAGCATTGTAGGGGCTCCCTCTGCAAAGTGGCGCTCAGTGTGGCCAAGCCGGTTACACTACCCTAAAACTGCCTCTGATTTTTGTGCACAGCATATACATTTTTGCCCTCATAACTTGGCTAGAGAATTCTACTGCAAAATCTGGAGAAGGGTAACTGTTTTTTGGTTTACTTCCTCACACACACACCCCAAGTGCAAACTAGGCAAGTTCACTTTTAAATGCAAACTGAATCCAATTTCTCCTCCACCCCTATAGACAACTCTTGTGGCTGCTTTGGCTGACCCCCAATACCATTGCTTTCCAGGTCAACCCAGTCTTGCTCCTAGCTGCTCTGGCTAGGGATAAATAAAAGCACCTTTAGTGCCTTTCAAGCCAATCTTTGGAAAATCAGGTGCTGCTTTTGGATAAAATAGTATATTTTGAAATGCCTTGGTTAGTTAATTCTGGTATGTTGATACATACATTGCCTGTCCAATCCTTGACACATTACCCTTTTATCTAAAAGTCCCATGTGGGAAACTCCCTATTTGCTTGAAGTCCAGAAGCAAGCCTTCTGGGCAGGGAATATTATGTTTCCTAGTTACAGCTGCAACCCACTAGAGAGAGAATAGCTTGATGTACTGTTTGCTCCAGACAACAACCTAAACATTAGCATATGGTTAGGGTAAACATCCCTGCAATTCTCTGTGCCCAAAGAGGCCCCCACTGCAACACAGCTAACGCAAAACACAAACACCACAAATCCTAAAAACCTAACTTTCATGTCTTATGTAGTACTAAAAACTAAACATGACAGACCTTGGCAATCAAAATCTAAAGTATCCTGAAACCACAAAACACAACTTTGCAAATAGTGGAGAGTTTGTCCAAATGAATTCCAATCATGCAACTATAACAAAAATGCCACTGGAGTCTAATTTATAGCTATGAAGCAAGCTCCCAGACTTCCCTGTGCAAAACTTGGATTTGGAGACACCGTCAGGTCTCTCAGTTTTCACTGAGACAATCCTGGTGCCAGAGAGCAGGCCATCCCAGCTCCCCTCCTGTCCTAGGTATCGTAGCAGCCGCAGGTTTATATTACAGACTAGCATTCCTTAACCATTTAAACTATGTGTTGTTCTCATCATCTGTCAGCCATCAAAATAAAAGATGCACTATAAATACACTTTTCACTCATACAGCACAAAAACTCACAGCCTGATGTGAAGAATTCTCCACTCCCCAGAATGTTATTCCCTTTGGGCCAGAATTAAACAGGGATGGGGTAAATTTGTGCTTCCACTCTAGTAAGTTTTTGCAGAACCAGAAATAAATCCATTGTGTGGCACCAAAACTCTGGAAACCCACAATTCCATAGTGAACACACACACACACACACACACACACACACACACCCTGTAGGTGCACAAGCAACTACCAGGCCAGAGATGAATGGCTGCTTGCATCTTTACATAAGAGGCAAAGACAGGCAGGATGCAAACAGTGTGTGGTTTGCTGTGCTGTGCACCCCATGGCTGAAGATCAGCCCATGTGATGGCCTGGGATTCCGATTCTGAGAGTGAACCGGAGGAATCCCAGCCGGCACAGGAGTCCCCGCCTCCAGGGCCGGCTGAACTGGGGCAGGGCCTTGATTCTGAGGAGCCTGCACCTGTGCCAGATCCTCAGGAGCAGGCACCAGGTGAATCCATTCTGGCCCCAGAGGTGCTTGAGGACTCAGTGTCTACAGGTGAGCCTCCCCCGGGGCCCAGTAACCCTTCAGCCTCTCCTGAACTGCAGAGGCTTAGGGCAGAGAGGCGAAGGGAACTGGTTTCCCAGGAGGAGTGCTCACCTTAAGGCCAGGAGAGATAAAGGCCAGTCAGCCCGGTCCCAGGTTGCGGGAGCAACGTCGTCATTGAAGAGCTGTTTCGGCCAGCATCCAGTCCTGTTCCTCCAGTGTTCCTGTTCCCCGCCCGGCGTCCTGCTTCTGATCTTCGAGTGTTCCTGTCCCCGCCCGGCTCCCTGTTTCGGACCTCGCCTCGCACCTTGTGGACTATTACCAGGCTAGTGACTCAGGACTGAACTTTGACTACGGTAACAGTAACCTTTCCCCCGGGACCAGCACAGCCCAGAAGAAGAATGGAGAAAAGATGGCCTCCCCCGCCCTTCCGATCTCTTTCATTGCATGCACTGAAATGTAACAGATCATGCTCATGGTTTCCATTGTATTTACAGTGACATGGGAAGCGAACCCCACCATGCAGAGAGGAGCCCAGAAACAGAACGATAGATTTCGTTGTATAATTCCTCTCCCCTCTTGATAGGAATCCCCACAGTCCAATGTAGGGAGTTCTGCAGGCCACAGTTCCTGAGAACCAGTGTCTCTGGCTATACCTCCCATATCCCATCTGCCAATACACTCCTATTGCCTGTTTCTCAGTGGAGTACAAAACAATTTCAAACCATTTTAGATGTGGGTGTTTTTAATCCCTGTTAAAATGTTTTGCTTTGTGGTTAATTTCATTACTTTTGCTACTTTGCTCTTTGCCATCCTTGGCTCCTTTGGGATGAAGGCTGAGATAGAAATGTCATCATCACCATCATCAACATCACCACAAACTGGAACAAAATAATTACAGATTTGATTCCTGCATTGCAGGGGGTTGAACTGAATGATCCTCGTGGTCCCTTCCAGCTCTACAATTCTATGATTCTATGAAAACAAACAAGGTGTACAAATGCATTCATGCAATTTTGCCCAACTTATTCTAGTTAATCAATGTGAACTAAGTGGCCACACAGTATATGGAAGATGACATAGTACACAAAGGAAATTCATTGGCAATGGTCTCCATGTGGACAGAAGGAAGGAACGGGGGGTGGGGAGGAGCTTTGAACATTTGCAGTTTAATCTTAGAGTACTGGTTTTTGTTGTTGTTGTTGTTTAGTCATTTATAAAGGTAAAGGTACCCCTGCCCGTACGGGCCAGTCTTGCCAGACTCTAGGGTTGTGCGCCCATCTCACTTAAGAGGCCGGGGGCCAGCGCTGTCCGCAGACACTTCCGGGTCACGTGGTCAGCGTGACAAGCTGTATCTGGCGAGCAAGCACCAGCGCCGCACACGGAAACGCCGTTTACCTTCCCGCTAGTAAGCGGTCCCTATTTATCTACTTGCACCCAGGGGTGCTTTCGAACTGCTAGGTTGGCAGGCGCTGGGACCAAGCAACGGGAGCGCACCCCGCCGCGGGGATTCGAACCGCCGACCTTTCGATCGGCAAGTCCTAGGCGCTGAGGCTTTAACCCACAGCGCCACCCGTGTCCCCGCCACCCGTTAGTCATTTAGTCGTGTCCAACTCTTCATGACCCCATGGACCAGAGCACGCCAGGCACTCCTGTCTTCCACTGCCTCCCGCAGTTTGGTCAAAGACTTTCTCCCAGGTGAGAATGTATATGTGTACTGCACTACATTACATTTTATATGGCTGGTTTTTAGTCTGCAGTCATCTAAAATGTCAGGTAGTGCAGTGCACATACACATTCTCACCTGGGAGAAAGTCTGCTTGAACTCGGGGATTTACACCAGAGTAGGCATGCATAGGATTGCCCTGTTAATAACCAAATATGCATTTTAGGATATTAGAGTACTATACAACAGCTGAATTCTCAGGTGCAATATAGTATGAAGAAGGACCCATCTTTTGCAGCCCGTAACATAAGTTGTTATGGGATGATGGGAGGATTATGCTGAGATGCCTTGTTCCAGTCTTGATGATGTCACAGGCAGTCATACATAGACAAAGGGACAGCATAAAAAGGAATAGAGCGACCACGGGCTCTCACCGCGTCACTCACTGAAAAGAGAGCAGAGCAGTGCCACTCTCAGTCACTCCAGGAAAAAAGTAAGTATTCCTCTTCAGTTCTGCTTTTCATTGCCTGTTTCAGAAAAAAGTCGGGATGAGCGAGACTAAATAGAAGGCATGCTTTGTGTGGCACCTGTAGCCTCATCAAATAAATTTGGGGAGCGGTCTGAGTAAAATGGCTTTCCATCCCATGCCCACCGTGAGCATTTTCTAACTTTGCTGCTTTGTTGTGTGTATGTGGGCTTGTAATTTCATTTTAAAGTGATAATGGTTTGCTAGGGTAATAAAAACCAAAGGGGTTTCTAGCTAGATCTTCTAACAGCTTACTTTTATTTTCTGAAACCAAAGCTCAGGTATCCCCTTTTGGAGATAAACTAGTGCTGCTCCCAGTAAAACAAAAGAAATAGTAGATGATGCTGTTCAATAATTTAGGATTTTTAAGATTTTCAAGAATAAAATTGTCACTGCAATTATTTTAGGTATATACCCTAAGAGATTGACATAAATGACAATCCACTGGGAGGCAATTATTATGCCAGCTTTCCAGTTGGGAAACTGAGGCTGGGAAGCAGCAACTGACCCAAAGCCAATGTGTGAGTTCCATGTCTAAGCTGTGGTTTGATTCAACCTTATTTCCATTTAGGCTTGCTGGTTTTCAGAATGAACAGTTTGCAATGTATTTTGCAGCCAATAAATACAACAGCATGGTTGCTTTTGGCGAGAAGCCTTTAAAGGTCAGGCTATAATGTGAGGATGAACAGGAAATGTGCCAAATCGCATCAGGAGTTGGGGAAAGATGCCCCTAGTTCAGCAGGTGTGGTCAGCACATAGGAAAGAAGTTTCCAGACCCAGGAGAGGACCCTGATGCTTAGAAATGGTAGAAAGCGTTGTGCTTTCTGCTGGGTCAAGGCTGCACACAGATCAGTTTTCACAGACCCGACTCACTGTGCTTCCCTGCAACTGAAATCTGCACAGTGGCTCACAATTCCAATCAAATGTTAGCTGAAATGTCTTGCCAGTTTAATCTGTATGATAAGTGCTGGGCATTTTTGAAAATTTGGCTACCGTTATCCTGACTGCAGTCCCGCAAAACAAATGCATATACATGTGTATATGTGGGAGAAGAGCTTCACACACACAGCCAGAAGTGCCTTGGAACTTTCTGCCTCAGCTTTCTGCACAGCTGAACAGGCAAGCAAACTTTAAACTTGTAAGAGTTTCATCGAGGTGCTGGAGCCATTGCAGTAGAAGTTTCAGAAGCATCTCCAGCTCTGCACAGAATTCTCCCCTTGCATTTTCATGCAATGCTGTAGGACTGCAGCTCTAGCTATGAGCCAGGGCACGTCGGTTTTCTTTCTCTCACCAACAAAGGATTCAGGTAGAGACATAGCAAGAAAAATTGCAGACACCCTGAGAGTTAAAACAATTCTGGTTCCTTTTCAAAACACAAATTTACCTTAAGTTCTGCTAGAGAATGGTGGCAGTTGTTCTTCCAAAGGTGAAAAACAACGTTTATTAGCTAACAGGCTAATGTAGAGTGAAGGTTAAAATGTCCACATTTTGAAATACTAAATAGGAAGTATTGAAAGTAATCAAGGGGTCCCCCAATCCAAATATGTGTGTGTGCGCACTGCAGCTGCCCCTCTCCTTTGCCTGCGTCACAACTATGATGTTACATGTGTACATGAGGACTTTTTCACACAGGAGACCTTTCCGAATCTTCCTCAAAGTTACCTGTCGGCACCAGAAGGTGACGCTTGATGGGATTTGCTTGTGCTGTGTGTTATTGTCTTCTCCCCTCAACTTGAGAGGACTTCCCCACCCTCCAGATGTTCTGGAAATCTGAGGTCCTTTGCGGAGGCATTTGTCTCCGTGTTGTGTGTGTGTGTGGCTCTGTTCTTCTGCTGAGGCTTCCCACCTAACAACTTGAGAGCTTCTGATCCTTATAGGACCAAGTAAATCATTTACTTATTTTCATTTTATCGTACTTACTCTCCAAAGAGCTCCAGGCAGAGTCAGGGACTGGCTCAAGATAAAGCTTTGCCTGAGAGGGATTTGAACCTAGGGCTTCCCACTTTAAACATACGTGATGGACTGGGATGTGTAGAGTCGATTTCAGCTTCTGCTGGAGAAGTGGCAGACTTCTGGGTGATGCCTTTTTTAAAAGAGAGAGAGAGAGCCCATGTTCTTCCTGGGTGTCTCAATCAGGTATTGTCTCAACCAGATATGTATGGATAGACAAGGATATTCATTTTCATTCACGTTCTCCCTCCCCCCCACCCCACCCCTCTCTCTGTCTCTCTCTCAAACAGAGAGGATTTAGGCATAAAAAGCACCAAATCATGGAAAAATAGAAAACTTCCTTTTAAAAAATGCTCTGCATGAGCAGAGTGCACTGCATCATCAGAGACCCAGACTGCATGAGGAATGCTACTCAAATTCAAGCTCAGGGATGGTGAGGGACTGAGGACAACCTGCTCATGAAGACTTGAGGACGGGACTTGCATCTGCTCACTTTGAGCCTTTGCATGTTCAGGCAAAAACCTGAATACAGCTGAATACCCTTCCCTTCCCTTTTCTTTTCACATCCCCCCACTAATAGTTCTTGAAATGAAAGTTGCAAACCTGTTGTGCATGTTGTAGAGTTTTGTGTTGCTGCTGTCACTCATCCTGAAGTGCGCTTTTGAAGGGCACTTCCCTTGCCTGAAACTGATAGACCTTTCCCTTGTGACTGCAGTTGGGGCCTGAGCTTCACCAGGTTCCCCTTACGAGTCACAGTACCTTGGAAGAGGGAAAAGGAAACAGACATGAGGCTCTTCATCATCTGCCTCTTGTGCTTGCTGATGGACTGCCTGCTGCTGCCTGACACCGAATGCCGAATCCTTGAGCGATCCATGGAAGTCAGAAGTAAGTTCTTGGGGACTGTATGGGGTAGAAGACAAAACTTTTAAAAGCAGCTGTGCTGAAGAGACCCTTTCTGAGGAAGCTGTTTATCACTGTAGCACTGGGAAATGGCCAGTGTCCCCTGTAGTGAGTTAAGGGACGTGGCAACCACTGATAAATGGATGAGCACTAGACCCAAGTGATGGGTGTGCAGCACAATCATCAAACCAGATGAAGTGGAATGTGAACTTTCATAAAGGAGTTCAGCTCAGGATAGGGTTTGCTGATCTGTAACATGCACTTGTGATGAGTCTTGAGGGACTTTGGGAGACAAGGGGAGGGAGCGCCTACAGAAGGTGGAGGGAACCTTTGGCCCTCCAACTAGAGGTGGAACATTTTTGGAAGTTTCAAAGCCAGGGGAGAAAAACATTCCCCCTTCCTGGGTCCCCCCAGCCAGGGAAAGTGGAAATTATTGGTTGGTTTTTCTAATAGCATTCCGTATGCATCGAAAGTCACTTTGCTACATGGTGTCCTTCCTTGTGTGCTTCTCTTTCACTCCATTATTCCTGCCACTGCCACTCCTAGCGCACAACCCACAGGCGTATTAGGCAGGTGTGAAATTGGACAGGTAGAAAAAATGCCATCAGCTCAACAAGGGTAGTCTTGCAAAAAAGCTTTGCTAGTGCTGGAAAGCTCGCATTGCCTCCCCACAAACAAGTGTGCCAGTGCTTTAGAATATGGCAGCGCAATGTCAGGTATTCCTCAGGACGCGGGTGGCGCTGTGGGTAAAAGCCTCAGCGCCTAGGGCTTGTCGATCGAAAGGTCGCGGTTCAAATCCCCGCGGCGGGGTGCGCTCCCGCTGCTCGGTCCCAGCGCCTGCCAACCTAGCAGTTCGAAAGCACCCCCGGGTGCAAGTAGATAAATAGGGACCGCTTACTGGCGGGAAGGTAAACGGCGTTCCGTGTGCTGCGCTGGCTCGCCAGAGCAGCGATGTCACGCTGGCCACGTGACCCGGAAGTGTCTTCAGACAGCGCTGGCCCCCGGCCTATAGAGTGAGATGGGCGCACAACCCTAGAGTCTGTCAAGACTGGCCCGTACGGGCAGGGGTACCTTTACCTTTACCTTTTCTAATAGCATTCTGTATGCATCGAAAGTCACTTTGCTACATGGTGTCCTTCCTTGTGTGCTTCTCTTTCACTCCATTATTCCTGCCACTGCCACTCCTAGCGCACAACCCGCAGGCGTATTAGGCAGGTGTGAAATTAGACAGGTAGAAAAAATGCCATCAGCTCAACAAGGGTAGTCTTGTAAAAAAGCTTTGCTAGTGCTGGACAGCTCGCATTGCCTCCCCACAAACAAGTGTGCCAGTGCTTTAGAATATGGCAGAGCAATGCCAGGTATTCCGGTGCAGGAGTGGGAAGGACTTTTCTTTTTCCTAGGCTCTCAATACCACCTGGGCTTTGCCTTCCAGATCCAGACATTGACCCTTCCTGGTACACGGGGCGAGGGATCCGACCTGTGGGACGGTTTGGCAGAAGGAGAGCAGCTGGAGAGAAAGCCCAGAAAAGTGACCACCGGCCCCAGCAAGCCTGCTTCCCCATAGGAGACAGCGATGAGCAGCTGCAAGATGAATGATGCCTCAGAAGTGAACGATCTCCCATCCCGACAAGAAAGAACACACACACATCGCAATCTCTCCAGAGGCCAAATAAAAAACGTTGGACTTTTTGCCCTGTCTCTTTTATGTCTCATGCCAGAGTTCAAGAGCAGGGTTTGGCTGAAGAATTTCCTTAGACTATATCTCTCTACGCCCTCACATTGTATTCCTTTTACTGTCAAATTCATTTTCAGATTTCTTGCACCAGTAAAGGCTGTCCCTTTTGTGAATGACTTTAATGTGTTGCAGAACAACTATCCTTAAACTCCACTCCAAAGCACCCATTTGTTGATGATACAAGTTTTTATTTCATTTACTTGCTTTTATAGTACCAGAGGTGTACATTCTTGGGACTTAAAAAATGTAAGAGAACAGCTCCCAGGCTCTTATAGCCCAAAATTTAATACAATAGAGTTAACAGAGTAAGGGATCGGGAAGGAGAGTCAGTTGTAAATAAGTAATTAATATGAATTTCTTTTAAATACATACAGACTTTGACCAATTAAGTCCCGCACACCCACCCCAGTCAATATCAACACCATCCTGACCTTAACAGGACACCAAATCTAATATATTCCAAACTGAGCATTGAACCGGACATCATTAGAAACAGTTTCCACAAAGCTCCAATTTGCTCACAGAAAGGAGGTCTGTGTATGGATGTTCAAGGCTTCAGGGGTGTAACAAGGGTGCGGTAGGTGCGGTTTGCCCCAGGTGCCCCCACTGAGGGGGGTGACAAAATAGTGGACGACACTCACCACGGGACCTGCAGTGCGCCCGAGCCACATGTCTTGAGTGCCCGCAGGCTCCACAATGTCCGCTCACTGCCTCCCCCCAGCTGTAGGGCGGCTGAGGCCCCAGCCCCTGCGGCACATCACATCCCTATGGGCATTGCGTGCCCCATCCCTAAGGGTGCCACGTCCCCGTCCCATTCCTCCCTATGGGCACTGCATGCCCCGTCCCTATGGCCGCGTCCCTATGGCCGCACTACCCCAGGTGCCCAAGAGGCTTCCTCCACCGCTGCAAGGCTCCCCATTTTCAAATTTCATGTATTCTTCAACACTACCTCTAAAATCAGAAAGGTAGACTGCCGGGCATTGGGGTTGGTGGTCCCCTAGCAGAATCCTCTCCTAACTCAAGAACCCAACTCTACAGGAAAACACTCAAGTTTAGTGGACTGTTGGACAGGAACCCCGACCGTGGAGGTTTAATCTTGACCAATCATGGCAGCACCCGTTCTTCCCACCCATCAAGTTGATGCTGCACTGAGAAAGCCTATCAACAAGGCTGAGAGAAGATAACCCCAGCCCCAAAGCCACATCTCTGTCATGCAAGTCCGACTGACATCCTCATCTGGGATTAAGTGGCAGAAGGCAATGGTTTTACTATTCACCAACGCTGAAGAGAAATATTCACAAGCTTGACAAATTAGAATAATACAGTCATACCTCGGGTTGAAGTAGCTTCAGGTTAAGCATTTTCAGGTTGCGCTCTGCAGCAACCCGGAAGTAACGGAGCACATTACTTCTGGGTTTCACCGCTCATGCATGCGCAGATGCTCAAAATGATGTCACGCATGTTACGTTCTACTCAGGATGAGAACGGGGCTCCAGAACGGATCCCGTTCGCATCCAGAGGTACCACTGTCGAACCATAGAATTGTAGAATTTGAAGGGACTCCAAGGGTGACAGGTGGCCATCCAACCTTTGCTTAAAAGCCTCCAAGGAAGGAGAGCCCACCACCTCTCATGAAAGTCTGTTCCACTGCTGAACAGCTCTTACTGTCATAATGTTCTTCCTGATGTTTAGTCAGAATCTCCTTTCTTATAACGAAGCCACTGGTTCAGGTCCAGAGCAGGAGAAAACAAGCTTGATCCATCTTCCATGTGGCAGCCCTTTAGATATTGGAAGATAACTATCTTATCTCTTGCGTGCCCAGGCATCCCCCATAAATAATGAGACCTGTTGTATTTGGGTAAAATCAGGCCACACCTTTACTGACTACAGAAGTAAGAGGTTTGGCATTGGCACTGGGTAGAATCCCACCCCTTCTAGCCCATCTGCTGGTAGGAGTTGCACCTGGGGAGTGCTGTGACCTAGTCCTCACCAGGGCATCTGGACAGACGCATCCCTTTAACGGGATATGCCATTTTCTGTAGGGACAGGCAGAGACAACAACCTCTCCTCCAACCAAGACTATGCCTATCCAATGCCTAAACCGCCACTCAAGCAAATGCTCACTGCCAAACCGCTCACATCTGAAGCCAAGATCTTAAGCCTCCCGCCCGTAAGTCATTTCACACTCCAGACATGTGCACCCATCCTGCTGGAATACGGCCTCTCAGTTGAAAGCGATACCAGGGCACCGAATCACCCAGCTGCCCAGCAGCAGCACCTTGTGTTTTATGGCTCAATTCCCTTTCTACCTTGCCTTGTTCGTGCCTGCCAGCTCAGTTGCCCCTCTGATCACGCCAACACCAACTCTCCAGTAGCTTAGATCCAAGCAGCAACCCTTTGAGATGTAAAAAAGTTTAGAGTGATGTGTAAACCATCCTAATTTGACATATATGCTCAAGGGATGAGAACTGGCGGTGGCTGACCAGGAATGTGACCTTGGGCTACTTCACTTGTGCCACCGTGGGAAGCAGGTGGCTAGACAGGATAGACCACTACTTTGGTCTGATCTGGCAGGGATCTTCTCATATTCTTATGAAATGACACAATGCTATTTTTTACTCTTCTGTTTATTCTCTTTATTACATTTGGATACCAAAGAAAAACTATACTATTGAAAGCTTTTACAAATAATTTGGAAGTGTGTGTTGCTTTTATGTTAGCTGCTCTGAGCCCGGCCTCAGCCAGGGAGGGCGGGATACAAATAAAATTTTATTACAGTGGTACCTCAGGTTACAGACGCTTCAGGTTGCAGACTCCGCTAACCCAGAAATAGTACCTCGGCTTAAGAACTTTGCTTCAGGATGAGAACAGAAATTAGCTAAAGTGGTACCTCAGGTTAAGAACAGTTTCAGATTAATAATTTGACCTCCAGAACAAATTAAGTTCTTAACCCAAGGTACCACTGTATTATTATTATTATTATTATTATTATTATTATTATTATTATTATTATTAAAACTTTTTAATGTGTTCTCACAGTGAAAAGGAATGAGGTAGGCACATAAAGCAGAGCAAACCCTCCGGCTTCGAGGAGGAGGCTTCCATTTTTTACTGCAGCAGCAACCCCAGCCACACGGAACAACTAATCTCAGATTGCTTGGCAGCATTTCGTTTGGGGAAAACTTGTTTCTCGCAGATCAACACGTGATCTCTTCCATTGTGTTGATTGAAATGTCTTCTCTCTCTGTTGTTCTTGTTTTAACAATTCATGAGCTTTAGGAGGAAGGGAGAAATGGTTATTTTTCTGTGAAATATAAGATTTACAGCCTTAATTAAAAGTGCAAGTTTTTACTTATCTGCTTACATGGAATAACAATTGTCTATGTGCAGCTGTTTCCTCCACCACATCACCGGTTGGTGAGCCTGAACCTGTTTCTGGGTTTCAGAAAGAGTATTGTGACGCCTGTGACCCTTGAAGGTCAAACAGTGGCCTTCAGATGCCCCCTGCCCTTTAAAGGCTGGAAGAGGCAGCTAGAATGGTCATGGAGTTGATGGCCAAATAATAGATCATCGGCCTAGTTTGCAAGACACAGTGAACCATAGTTAAGAACAAAACTTGGCTTCCATAGGTGGCCTTTTGGGAGAGAAACAAACCCGGGGGATGGCATGAGAGGCCAGACTACTGTATTGCATTTCCCAACAAGGCGGTGGCAGCAGCAGCAGGACCTGAGAGGATGGGAGTGACTGCAGTTTCAGCCCTGCGCATCAGCATGCTGCTCAACCACCTAAAACGAACTGGGTGATTGTTTTGCAAACACGGCTATTATTCTGGAGCAATGATGTTAAACGGTGTGGACATAGAAAGTGGCTTTTCTCATCTATGCAAGAGTCATTTTACAGCCTCCAGCTCCACCTGCTACAATTGTTTCTTACCACTCGTATATGTTGAAGAGAAAGCAGGTGATTTGCTTTGATGGCTGAAGCAGACATAAGATAACATGAGAACGTGGAACAGTTTCTACAGTTGTGCTCTCAGATCACCTTCAGAAGCAATCTGTCTCGCATGCAAGCAAACTGAGCACGGGCTCAAGGCCTTTAGTCTTTCCCTCATCCAGCGGGCAGCAGCAAGAGGAACCAAGGATGGAAGAGTCAAGGCTGAACGCCATTCTCAACTACACAACTTTCAGAAGACATCTGAAGGCAGCCCAGTATCAGGAAGTTTTTTTTATGTCTGACATTTTATTACGTTGCCACCCTGCACTCAGTTCTCACCTGTGGCTCCTAGAAGCTGTCAGCAGGCAACAGTGACCACACCCCAGGAAATGGCTCCAACAGGACAGCTAAACCAGGTGAGGGCAGCCAATAGGTCTCAAACCCTTATTGAGTTAGGGACTTGTCTATCCCCTGCATGCGAAGACAGGCTCTGGTGGATTGAGAGGACGAGACCAAGCGTGGATCTAATGGTCAAGAGGGTAGTTTCTGCACATTCTGTAGAAGGAAGTGAGGGGTAGATGGAACCTGTCAACCTGGGAAGGTAGCCCATCTAGGAGAAGGAAAACTCCAACCTTAGACCTCTGCTGCCTTGTGGGATATCTTCAGGAGAAGAAAAGGCTAAAGAGTAAACCCTACACAAATCCAGATTGGAGTCACTAAGATGGTTGGATGGTGCCTTGTACGCCTCCTTCTGGCAACTCCTGCAGCCAAGTTGCTCCCGAACATCTTGCTCTGCTTTCCTTTGGACCATCAGCGAGGCCAAGATGGGGGTCTTGTCATCTGGGTACCCCAGGACCTCTAGGCATACAGCCCAAACTTGTGCCCCAAGAGGTCACTTCAGTGCTGCTAACACAGCAGTTTTGACAACACCCCCCAAGATGGACTCTATTGTCTCTTGAGACATATGGATGCCAACAGCGAAACAAGATTAGTACTTGAAAATGAAATAGATTTTACGTTGGGTATTCTATCTTGAGAGAGGCATAAGAGCATAAATTAGAAGCGTAGGCAAAATTTTGAGAGACAGAGAGCACCCTTTGTTAAATGTTAACTGTGTAAATTAACTTACCCAGAGACACGAAGAGTTCTGTCACTTGGTAATTAGATTTTGCAGAGGTTTCCATGTACTGCAGGTTCTTCGTTTGTGCAAAATCCTTTGCCTCCTGGAGAAACAACGTATCTATGATTTCAAGAAAGTAGACTGTGTGTATACACACACACACACACACACACACACACACACAGATATATACAGATATATAGATTCATATATAATCCTATAACACACCCTCCACGCAGCTCAAGGTGGGTTTCTTATTTATTTATTTATTTGCCTTCTTGAGTTAAGCGAAAGTGGTGGTTTATGTGTTTATTATTAAAAGGCACGGATTTGACCCGGAGAGCCAAATGCATCCCACCAACCATCTATGATTCCTGCATTGCAGCAACTGCATTGCAGTTGGACTAGATGACCCTCATGGCCCTTCCAACTTTACAATTCTACGATTCTGTGATGGGCTGCCACATACATGAGAAACTCCAAGACAGCTATGTGAGATTGAGTGTTTCGGCAGAGGAATGTGCATACATGTATGAGAGGGAGACGGGGGGGGGGGGGGAGTGAGAAGGCCTACGTTTGTAGATGTCATTGGCCTAAATACAAGAATAACGTCTACCTGTAATGTGACCTCCCGTTCAGCAGAAAGGTCCAGTTTATTGCCAACCAAAGCTATAATTATTTCATCAGGAAGGAATTCCTTCTCCAGTTCTGCCAGCCACACTTTTGCTTTCTCCAAACTTTCCTGAAAAGACAACTTATATGTAAATAACTGATATGCAATCAATAATGGAGCTATAACTTCTTAAGAGAAATTAGGTTCTGTATTAGTGTGCGAAATGTGTCATGTGCAACCAAACAACATTAAAAAATGTGCTTAGTAATGAAGGATGGGGTTATACTCCCTCTGAAGGAGCAGCTATGTAGCTTGGGGGTCCTCCTGTATCCGTTGCTGTCGCTTGAGGCTCAGGTGGCCTCGGTGGCACTGAGTGCCTTCCATCAGCTTCGGCTGGTGGCCCAGCTACCCCCCTATCTGGACAAGGATAGCCTAACTACTGTTGTCTATGCTCTGGTAACCTCAAGGTTAGATTACTGCGTCATGCAGAGGGCTGCCCTTGAAGACTGTTCAGAAACTCCAGCTAGTGCAGAATTCAACAGCCAGGTTGCTCACCGGGGCAAGAAGGTTTGGCTCAACTGCACTGGCTGCCAGTTAGCTTCTGGGCACAATTCAAAGTGCTGGTTTTGACCTGTAAAGCCTTAAACGGCTCACAGCCGCAATTCCTCAAGGGCAGCCTCTCCCCATATAAACTGACCTGGACTTTGCAATCATCATCTGGGGCCTTTCGTCGTGTGCCTCCCCCATAAGAGGTCCAGAAGATGGCAACACAGGAATGGGCCTTCTCTGCAGTGGCTCCCCATTTGTGGAATGCTCTCCCCAGGCGATGATTCTATGCACAGCTCCATACTGCTAGCAGCCTCTTCCATACATCTCCACAAGTTAAAGGGCTACTTGAGACAATTTTTTGGTAATGAAAGCTGCTCATTTAGAGAGGGCTCCTGGAGCAGAACTGAAGGGCAAAGACCATCAGAGGCCACAGCCTTACTTTGCATAAAAATTCATAATTCTCCACTATGTCATCATATTCAGCAAGTTTGACATCCTACATTTTAAGACGTTTTCTTTGTCAGTAACACTTTCGTGTCTGATTCATACGTTATTGTGTGTGACAACATCAGCCTGGTTGACTTTTCTCGGAGATTTTGATTTACTCTGTTGATATTGTGATTGTTCCAACATGTACCCAAATTGTCCTGGTTCAAGCCACTTTTAAAAGGTTTTCCAGGACTAGAAAAATATCAGAAAAATATGACAACTTCTCCTTGGAAAATAAAACACCATTTGGAAATTATGCCAAATTACACATTCAGAAATGGTGAAATGGGAAAAGGGAAGAGGGAAGGGAAGAGCATTCCTGCCTTACCTTCCTCGTTATATCATAAACCAGAACAGCAGCATTCGCCGCTCTGTAATAGAGATGGCAGACACTATGGTACTTCTCTTGGCCTGCAGTGTCCCAGATCTCAAGCTTAATTGTGGTGTTATCCAAACTTAGAACCTGCGTGAAGAAGGAACCTAAAAGCAAAAGAGAAATGAATTGCTTACCAGTAGAAGCTGCAGACACAATGGAGATTAGATTTTTGTTAACTAGATGGCCTTACTGGCCGTAAACCAAACCATGGCTTGCACAAATGCACAAGTGTGAGGGCTCTGAGAAAGGAGAACACAGCTCCCGTGTTCCTCCCCCGGGTCCTCCCGCTGCTGAACTGCCACGAGCAAAGTCTTGCTTGGCTTGAGATGTTGTCTGAGCCCAGACTCTTGGCTTGTTTTGCTGCAGACAAACCGTGCAGAGTAAACCTAAGAACAACCCTTGGTTACTAGACCAGTTATTGTTTGGCTGGAGTGAGACAAGCTGCAAGCCCAGGGTTGAATGACATGCTAAGCCAAAACATGGCTTAATGGCGGCAGCACAGCAGGAGGGAGGAGGGCAGCAATGGCCAGGGCTCTGCCCACGGGCATGAGTGCCCTAGACCAAGGCTTGGCTCAGGGCAGCTTGCTAACATCTTGGAACATTTGGTCAGGCTATATAGATATGACTTTTTATAAGTCAACCACTTAGCCAATTAATAAATAAAGCTATAAATAAAGTCATAACGCTGTCAGTGTGTGAGAGAGTACAGGGATTGCCTCTTTCAGGATGAGAACTGCTTCAGCCATGTGTACATCAATGGAAAACAATGTTCAGGTCTATTGTTTTTTTCTCATATCCAAATAAATGTGATCAACTGATTTGCACTTCTATCAACTTCCAGACTCACAAAGCAGCTTCAGTAATGTTCTATATTAGAAGAAGAAGAAAAAGAAGAAGAAGAAGAAGAGGAGGAGGAGGAGGAGGAGGAGGAGGAGTTTGGATTTGATACCCCACTTTATCACTACCCGAAGGAGTCTCAAAGCGGCTAACATTCTCCTTTCCCTTCCTCCCCCACAACAAACCCTCTGTGAGGTGAGTGGGGCTGAGAGACTTCAAAGAAGTGTGACTAGCCCAAGGTCACCCAGCCGCTGCATGTGGAGGAGCGGGGACGCAAACCCGGTTCACCAGATTACGAGTCTACCGCTCTTAACCACTACACCACACTGGCTCTCTATTAATCTCTTTCTACTCAAAAGTCAAAATATGGAACTTTGATGTGCAAGTTCAGACATGTAAGGTTCTGCACCTGCCCAGGCATTGCTTTCTTTTAAAATAACAAGGTGTGCCATGCTTGTTGGGTGCCTGCCAGATGCAGAGGGCCCTGTCCACTGGCCAATCATCAGGGATGATGGGAATTGCATGTAGTCCATCTGGAGGGCACCAGGTTGGGGAAGCCATCCCTGTTAAAAATGAAGTGGTAATAGAATATGCATCCATTCATATTACTGGTGACTTTAATTGTACAACATGCCATCTGTCGCCTGCATTCCCAAGGTGCACAAGAGTGCAGAAATCAATTTTTATATCTGTATATCAAGCCATCATATAGCTGAGAACCAAAGTCACTATGATGTTGCCCTTCCCAATGAATGAGTCTGCTCAGTGCTTCTGGCACTGCTGTTTCCCATTCCTGCATGTAAGCCACTTTCCCAAGTCTCCTTCCTCAACTGCTCTTCCTAGTTTGTTGCTTCCTTGCACATAGAATCCCAGAGTTGTGAAGATGGAAATGAGTGTCATCTAGTTCAACCCCCTGCAATGCTTCCCTCAGCCTCTGTCTGTTGCTTCTTTAACCCTGGACTATTTTGAAAGCATGTGAACTCTGCCACAATCACTTCCACGTCCACTTCATTTCCTAGCAATTGGCTGATAAATACTGGGAAGGGCAACTCTGGGCCGCTCTCAATGTCCTCATGACGCTTTGCAGGGAGGGGGCCCACGTGGTCCCACTTTCAAAATTGCTTGTGTATGTGACGTTAACATATGAGAGTGCTGGAGGTGAAATAGTTAAACAGGTTACCCAATCAGAACCCAGGGGGTGGAGTCAGAGGGACTATAAAACCAGCTCTGGGAGGGGCGAAGGGGAGAGTTTGTTGTGGAGTTTGTTGGGAGTTGGGTGGTTGGTTGGAGTGGGAGTGAATTGGGATAGAGTCTGGGGGTAGGTGGAGTTAGTGTAGAGAAATAAGCTGAATCAGGAACAGTTAGGAGCTAGGAAGACAAGTAAATATCTGAGAGGTGGTTTAGTGAGTGAGAGCAGGTAGCGGAAGTTATAGGTCTGGATAGGGACCCTATGATTGTAATTGACCGACACCATTTATGAAACCACACGCTTGTTAAACTGCAACAAATAAACAGAAGTTTATGTTCCAATTTAACCCTGACTGGACTCAGTATTGTACCAGGTGGGGCCTGGGTGGTGGCAGCGAGAAATAAAGTGGTGGCACAGGGATCAATAGACGGTGAAACGTCCGGAGACCCCGTGTGATCGCCACAGCGTCTACAAATACACAGACACACCAATAGGTTTTTCTGTGTCTTCTGGCCACATTCTTCACCTCCTCACCCGCTGCACTTCAGCAGCTGGGGGGTGGGGTGGGGTGGATAGATGTCAATTAGCCATGCCCCCCCCCATCACATGATGATGTTCAAGTTGTGCACTGTGTTGCTTTTATCACTGGGTGTCACTCTGTCACTACAGTTGCAAGGAAAGAGATAGTGCTCCATCCCTCTAGGGTGTTCTGTGCATGGTTGCCATGGAGACAATATTTCATAATAAAAATAGCTGAGGCTGTGCCAAAGCAGTTCCTCAGCCAAATGTTCATGACTTGCATCCTTGGCCTTATTCTGAGTAATTTGTAGCCTATCGGTTAATGCAAAAGGCAGGGCCCCTTCAGCCAGCGTTAGGGTCCTACTCAGCACCATTCACTTACAGCCCACGGTAGGCAGAGAGTCCCGGAAGTCCTTCTTCACATAACGATAGGCTAGGCTTGACTTTCCTACAGCCGTGCTTCCCAGAAGAACCACTTTGAAAATGTAAGAATCTTTTAGGCAGGGGACATAAAGGTAGGGAGTGGCCTCCTTGTTCTGCACCCTTCTCTGAGCCATGTCCTGGAGAAAAAAAGGGAAAGGAAAGGGAATGATTTGTCAGCAATAGAGGCTCTGGAACTGAGAGAAAGAGGAGATGAAGCCTCACAACTATGCTGCAGTAAACGGAACACTTTGCTGTTGGATAATGACATTTCTCAACCTTTGCACCAAGTACAGTGGTACCCCGGGTTCAGAACTTAATTCCTTCTGGAGGTCTGTTCTTAACCTCAAACTGTTCTTAACCTGAGGTACCACTTTAGCTAATGGGGCCTCCCACTGCCGCTGTGCAATTTCTGTTCTCATCCTGAAGCAAAGTTCTTAACCCGAGGAACTATTTCTGGGTTAGCGGAGTCTGTAACCTGAAGCGTCTGTAACCTGAAGCGTCTGTAACCTGAGGTACCACTGTAGTTCCTTTCAGGTGTATTTTTTGCCTCTGAAGAATGCATTATCAAAATGCATGGAGTTTTTTATATTCCAGAATTAAGTTTTCCACATGTGGGCACACATCACACCTCTTTGTTCTGAGTGTTGGCATGCAACCAAGGAAATGGGGGCAACTGGCAGGCCCCAGCTGGCTTCAGCCCACCGGCCGGTGTGCCAGGCGATCTCCAGTCCTTGGTGCAGCATCTGCGAGCTTCAGAAGCTAGGGCACACTACTCTGCAGAGTAAATGCTACACAACAGAAGTGACTGGAGAGGCCGTGTGAGCATATTTACAAGCAGTTTATTCAGCATACATCAGGACGAAAGGGAACATGTCTAATCTCCTTCGTGTCCAAAGCAAGACAGCTAAAGCAAAAGCTATACACAAACGGAAGTTCCCAGCAAGCTGTGCTGGAGTATAAACAGATATGTGACATACAACAATCCACATGTCTGTTCTTAAGGTGGAATGGAATATCCCAACACTGAGAGGCACCATGAGGATGGAGTAAAGAAAAGGCCTATTCATGCAACCGATGCCATTAAGTATCTCCTGGTCAAATAACATAATGATCCAAAGTATAGTGCTACTTTTAAAATGCCATGTAAACTACGATTTCCTTAAATACACTTTTATCTTCCTTTTTGATCGATATGATTTTCTTCCTGGAGTTCATGCACAGCTTCCTTGCCTCTCATGCCTACTTGGCTGAGTAAAGTAACCCCCCCCCACACACACACACTCTGGTTATGTTCCTGCTTGGTTTGGGGGCTCTTTCATTGAGTGTCTATTTACTTGCCTGTTCAAAGCACTTAGAGAGTGACAGCTGCTAAAGTGAGTGTTATCAAGTTGAGGGGGTGCTAGTGTCCATGTACCTCCATTGCCAAAGGTGTGTGACCTCGGATGAGCCCAGAGGATCAGTGCCACTAGCTCATCCGCTTGCCTTGCCTTGCTGTCCTTGTGGAAGAAAATACCTCTGACCTGGACGGAGTGAAGCATCCCTTGAGGAAGCTGAGAGACTTGAGTGGGGACCCAGGGACTAGAGAATGGGTTGGGGAGGGGGAATGTCCACAGATCATGGGGCAAAAATAGAAGAAGCAGAAAACTGACATGGCGCTGAAAAGCTGCTGAATCTCAGGGGCTACAATGGAGAGGCAGGTGGTGGCAGCTGCTACTGAAGGGGATTTTTTTCTGGGATATCACACTTATTCCCAAACGCTGTGGATAACAGCACAGGTTATTCTTTTCACTTGTGCCTGGCCACTGTTCAGTTCCCTGCCCCCTTTTCTTCTTATGTGACTGAGTGAAGGTGACAATAAGGGTGCTCCCATATTCTGGTCTCTTTCTTCAGCTTCAACTAGTTCACCTGAAGGATCACTTTTCTCACATAAGCCCACTCACTGCTTCAGACTGCAGAAATAGTCCCTTTTCAAGGGCCACATACTGTTAATTCCACACTTGAAAGTAATCGAACCTTCAGCATGAAGCCGTTTACCTTCCTGCCACAGCAGTACCTATTTATCTACTCGCGCTGGTGTGTTTTCAAACTGCTTGGTTGGCAGGAGCTGGGACAGAGCAACGGGAGCTCACCCCGTCGCAGGGATTCAAATCACCGACCTTCCGATCAGCAAGCCCAAGAGGCTCAGTAGATTAGACCACAGCGCTACCCGCGTCACTTTTTAATGCACCTGAACTTGGCCACCTCCACTCCACTTCAGAAGTTGGACACATGCCTTTACAGGATAGTGCAGAAGAAATAAAAGGTCAATTTTATCATACAAAGTACTTTTTTTTTTTTTTTTTGAAGAATTGTTCAATCTCCATTCCGAATGTTTCAGAGGGTCACTTCTCCTGGAGCTTAAGCTAGCCTCCAGGTTTCTAACACAGCAATACTTAATAGGATGTAATCTTGCTGAAATTTGAGTCTGAGGAGTAGCAGGTCCAGCACCAGCATTTGACACCCCAGCGATCCAGATGGGCCCACCCCCCACGGTGCCTCCAAGCCGCTATTTTAATTTCCTCAATGCTCAGAGTGGCACTGTGCTGTGGGAAATTAAAATAGCAGCTCCCTGATATGACCGGTGTGCTGTTGTTACTACCAGGTGACTGTGGGGGCCCTTCAATATAAGGAGGGGGTCCCTCAGAGAATGAACAACTTCCATCCTGCTAGGATGTGCACATCATAGTGAGCGCATCATTCTCTTTCCATCGAGATGAAGCAATCATTCCTTCTCTTCCTGCCCACATAGTCACACATTTCTTAGAAACATTCTGCAAATATAATTCCTGGGATCTTTGCGTAGTCCACACAACTCAGCAGTGGAAAATCAAGAGGTTGAGCCAAAAAAGTTGAGGCTATTGCTGCAGGTCTGAGGTGAAGAGACTGGTAGTAAAATAGAGGTCTTGGGGCTGAGGAAATCCTCAGAAGGTCAGAAGGTAAGGAGAGCCTTGCCAAGGCCCAGCCATGTGCCAGCGTGAGTCTTCTTTCTCCTGCTTCTGCTCATCCAGCTCCCAAGAGGAAGGACCACCAAGACTACTTTTCTGCTGGGTCTTCCCCTTCCAGCAACCCCCTCAGCTACAAACTGAGAAGAGAGGAGCTGGCCTGAAAGGAGGGTGGAGGGGAAGGCCTGGAGAACATGATCCAAGAAGCAGCCGCAGTCTAGGACACCTCAGTGACACCCCAGCACTGGAGGAGGAGAGCAAAGCAAGAGAGTAAGGAGAGGTAGCTCTGGGCCCATTGCATGGAGGCGGCTGGGGAAGCCTGGGAGGAGCAGAACCCGTTGCACTGCCAGGATTGCAATCCTGCACAAGCCACACAACTTGCCAACGTGCAACAATGGCAAGGGAGTGGGAGGCATTATTTATCCTAGGCTAACCCTGGTCCAATCCCCAAAGTGATAAAATTGTCCTATTTAGTTATGATACTGCTTAGCATTTATTACATGTTTGAAGCATATACCGTATTTTTCGTCCTATAGGACGCATAGGACACACATTTTCCCCTCCAAAAATGAAGGGGGAATGTGTGTGCGTCCTATGGGGTGAATGCAGGCTTTCGCTGAAGCCTGGAGAGCGAGAGGGGTCGGTGCGCACCGACCCCTCTCGCTCTCCAGGCTTCAGCAAGCTCTGCACAACCCTTGGGAGACCGGCGCGACTTCGCGCCGGGCTCCCGAGGGTTGCGCAAAGCTGCCTGTGCTCCCGGGCTTCGCGCAGCTCTGCGCAACCCTCCGGAGCCCGGCGCAAAGCCGCGCCAGGCTCCCAAAGGTTGCGCAGAGCTGCCTGCATTCTGAAGCCTGGGGCGCGCTGAAGAGCGCGCCCGGGGCTTCACGAAGCTCTCTGCAAGCCTGGGGAGACCGGTGCCCGCTCCCTAGGCTTGCAGATAGCAGACTGTTCTGGGGCTGGGGTCGGGGGAAGCTCGGGCTTCCCCCGCGCCTGCCCCGTGCCTGGGGGGGAAATAATTTTTTTTTCTTTATCCCCCGCCCCCAAAAAATTAGGTGCGTCCTATGGGGCGAAAAATACAGTATCTTGTTTCAAGCTTTAAAAAGAACCGTGGTCACATTGCCTCCCATATTGCAAACAGGAAGTTGGGTTAACTGAGTTCAGGTCAGAGGGGAGATTTAAGCGAGAACTTCCTGAACTGTAGCTGAGAGGGCTGTCCAGTGGGATCCTTGCACAACAGACCCACTCTGCCCCCCCCCCAAAAAAGTTTTGTGATAAAGAAAGTAACAGGAAAATGCACAATAAAGTGCAAGACACTGCCTTGATGCCATGTCCTCTAACCCCCCCACAACAAATGCAAATGAATGCTCAGTACACAACCAACATCATCTAATCTCCCTGCAAACAAATCAGGATGAATTCTCAATGAACAGGGTACCAGGAAGGGCCCTCAGTCTTGAGCTGTTTGATCCTATGGCTATTTATTTGCCCAGAAGGAAATGTTTTTGAATTTAGTGGAATAGCAGTCCTTAGGAGTGCTACCCCAGATACGAATCACCTAGATGAGATTTGTAGTTTGGAGCACCTTTGGTTGTGGAAATGCTGTCCCATGTAGTAGTAGAATAGCTATTTCTAATGTCATAGAATCATAGAATCATAGAGTTGGAATAGACCACAAGGGCCATCGAGTCCAACCCCCTGCCAAGCAGGAAACACCATCCTGCCAAGCAGGAAACTCCTGACATATGGTTGTCAAGCCTCTGCTTAAAGACCTCCAAAGAAGGAGACTCCACCACACTCCTTGGCAGCAAATTCCACTGTCGAACAGCTCTCACTGTCAGGAAGTTCTTCCTAATTTTTAGGTGGAATCTTCTTTCTTGTAGTTTGGATCCATTGCTCCGTGTCCACTTCTCTGGAGCAGCAGAAAACAACCTTTCTCCCTCCTCTATGTGACATCCTTTTATATATTTGAACATGGCTATCATATCACCCCTTAACCTCCTCTTCTCCAGGCTAAACATGCCCAGCTCCCTTAGCCGTTCCTCATAAGGCATCGTTTCCAGGCCTTTGACCATTTTGGTTGCCCTCCTCTGGACACGTTCCAGTTTGTCAGTGTCCTTCTTGAACTGTGGTGACTTTAATGGCTAAAGCTAATGCCTGACAGAAATTATCCACACTGGAAGCAAAATAGTTCCTCTTGCAAATTCACCGTGCAAGTCCGTATGAAGCCTGATTATCCCTTGTATATTCCTACTAGTTTTCTAAATGATACAAGACCCATTTTATGTGAGGACTAATCTAACCAGTTTCTCTTTTAGCTGAACATTCACCCACCTCTCATCCAGGCTGTCCATATCAAAGCAAACAAACCTTTCTGGTAGCTGCATGTCACAAGTTATATATTAGCAAGTCCCGTTCCTCTCGTGGGTCACTGAGTAACCGTTTTGCTGAGTTTCTTCTACTAAGCATCTTGGTGCTTCTCTCTGAAGATCTTACCTTTCCAAATGTTCCTGCCGTGTTCTCTCCTTTTCAAGATTTCTGCTCATTTACCTGGGGGTGCTGAGGTGGGAGAATAGGCAGCCTCGGCAGTGGCACAACGAAAGCAAGACTCCTCCAGTCAGGGAAGGGCTCTTGTACTTTCCCAGCCGCTTGCTGCTTTTATCAGCAAGCTGACCCAGAGTTTAAGGTCCACTGATTTCCCTCTTAGACAGTCACCTTCAGAATTGCGCTGTAAATAATGCAGAGCCATAAAACCTGATGATCCAGGTGAGTTGCAGTTGGCAGGGGGTGTTTCTCACAGGGTGGAGCCCTGCGCAACTCAGTGAACCTCAAGGCAAAACCTCTGCCTGATACCTGTTCCCAGCCATTTCCCACAACTGATTTATAGACCACCTCCTGTTTGGGTTTTCCTTTTTTAAAAAAAACTGCAAACACTAGAAATCCAGGGGATTAACCAGAACTACAGTAGTACCTTGGGTTAAGTACTTAATTCGTTCCGGAGGTCCGTTTTTAACCTGAAACTGTTCTTAACCTGAAGCACCCCTTTAGCTAATGGGGCCTCCCGCTGCCACCGTGCCACCAGAGCACAATTTCTGTTCTCATCCTGAAGCAAAGTTCTTTACCTGAAGCACTATTTCTGGGTTAGCGGAGTCTGTAACCTGAAGCGTATGTAACCTGAAGCGTATGTAACCTGAGCCAGTGTGGTGTAGTGGTTAAGAGCGGTGGACTCGTAATCTGGGGAACCGGGTTCGTGTCTCCGCTCCTCCACATGCATCTGCTGGGTGACCTTGGGCCAGTCACATTTCTCTGAAGTCTCTCAGCCCCACTCACCCCACAGAGTGTTTGTTGTGGGGGAGGAAGGGGAAGGAGAATGTTAGCCGCTTTGAGACTCCTGAAGGGGAGTGAAAGGCGGGATATCAAATCCAAACTCTTCTTCTTCTTCTACCACTGTACCTATTTATTTGTTAATTTATTTTAAAAACAAAGAGAGTACCTTGTCATATTATTATATCACAACGTGGTGTTATGGGTCTTTGCACTGACGTTGTAAGGGAGTTGATCCCAGACCCTAAATAAGCACACGAAAAGGCTTCCATGTGTTTTTTATTAAGCCTAGCTTTGTGTACCATTCAAGACCAGAGCGCCTTTTATCTAGCGCCTCGCCGTCTGATCTTACCTGGGCTACAGCCAGCCATTCATCCCATGGCCTCCTCCTCCCCCTCGCCCTTCCCTGCAAGGAATGAGTCATTCTTGCTGTCTGCTGAAAGTGTTATGTTAGGAGCCACTTTCTGCAGCCGTGTCAGTCCACTGAGTGACAAAGAGTCTTGTGGCATCTTCAGAAATAACAAATGTTATGGTGCAAGTTGTGATGTCGCCACTATAAGACTCCACAAGACCCTTCGTTGATTAGGAACCAAGTTTTGCCGAAACTTTTACTCACCTAGTTTGTTCTAAAAGTCTTCAAGAAAACTTTTGATAATGCACATCAGATAGAAAAAAGGCAAGAAAAGACATTCTGACTAAACATTAGGAAGAGCTTTCTGACAATAACAGCTGTCTGACAGTGGAACGAACTACCTTGGAAAGCAGCTAACCTTCTTCATTGGGTTGGGGTTTTTTTTAATAAAAAAAGGTTGGCTGTCCATCTGTCATGGATGTTTCAGCTGCACTAGCCGCTTGTTGCATGAAGAACAGGAAGGAAAATGTAGCTAACTTGCTGCTTAAATGGAATACACAGGATGAGGTAGTTAAATCTGCCATGATAAAATGGGCACAGGATGTTGGACACAACATAATGTTTGAAGACTGGGAAAGGTTATGGAACACCGGAATGAAGTTCACGGCATGTACTGCCTTGAAGGAAAACATTATGAAAATGGTATACCGGTGGTACATGACCCCAGTCAAGCTAGCTAAAATATATCACCTGTCTGACAACAAATGTTGGAAATGTAAGGAGGCAGAAGGGACATTTTTCCATCTCTGGTGGACCTGCCCAAAAGTGAAGGCCTTTTGGGAAATGATACATAATGAATTAAAAAAGGTATTTAGGTATACCTTTTCTAAGAAACCTGAGGCCTTCCTGCTGGGTATGGTGGACCAGAAAATGTTAAAGAAGGATAGAACTTTGTTTATGTATGCAACTACAGCAGCAAGAATACTCATCGCAAAGAACTGGAAGACACAAGATTTACCCACGCTGGAGGATTGGCAGACGCAGTTGATGGACTACATGGAATTAGCTGAGCTGACTGGCAGAATCCGAGATTTGGATGAAGAAATAATCGAGGGAGACTGGAGAAAATTTAAAGACTATTTGCAAAAACATCATAAGCTGTATGAATCTTAAGTCAGTGCATGATTGAGAAATACTATGCTTTGGCAAACAGGATTAAGTAAATGTTAAAATAAGTGATAAAAAAGAAAAGGAGACAATTTAAACTGAACATGTTATGTTTATTTTAAAAGCATTGAAATTAAGATACAATATATTGAATTTGGATGCATAACAAATTGAAAGTTACAATAAGGTATGAAACAAGGTAACAAATTGCTGACATTATTAAACTATAAAGAATGCAGTTCCGGAGGGTGCGGGGAAGTCCAAATATGGAATGGTTTATATACCTTTTTTGGTTTGATCTTTAATTTGTTTTTGAATGTAAAAGAAAAGAAAAATTGTTTCTTGCATTTAATGTTTTGTGGTGTTTGGATTGTTTGAAGTTATGGAAAGGAACGCAATAAAAAATTTATTAAAAAAAAATAAAAAAAAAATAAAAAAAAAAAGGAAAATGTAGCAAGCATTTATACAATCCTAAGAACCAACTCCTAGGGCCTGAGGTCCCTTCGACTCTCCCCGATAAAATATTTGAGGGGGCCACTCCCCCCAAGTTGATGGGCATTGTCATTCAACTGAGGTGTGTGCATCAATTATGTGGGGCAGGCCTTACCTCCCCCCCCCCAATATTTTAGTCAAGTTGCCCCCCCCCCCCGTCTACAATGGTCATTTCCAATCAAATACAAGCTCAAAAGCTAGCTTGAAAAGCTGCTATCTTTTAAAAACAACAACAGAAAATGCCAAATAGCAAAAGCTCTGGCAGATTGTTTTCGGATTGCAAAGAAAAGCCCCCGGTCCATCTCCTCAGCCCAGCCGCACTTGGCTTATCACTAATCTTGTTTCTTTCTCACTGAGTGTATGGTTTTCCCAGCCTCCTTCTCCAGAATCTGTTCTGCTGCTAGCATGCAATTTGCAGCCTTGTGTAAAAACAGCACCTGAAGTTAGAGGCAAGGATTCTCCGGATCTTGCCTTGCGTAGTTTCATTGTGGTTTTCTTTTGTGGTGTCTTATGAGCCTGTCCTTTTGTGCCATTCCTCTGTTTATCAGAAGCCATATGTCTCATCCCACGGCTGAGTGTTGGGAGAGGGCGATTTGTCTATGGAATGAAATCTGTGGTGTGCTTTTTAATTTCTTCCCTCTGTGCTGAATACTAATTCCCATGATGTCACACAAATGACATTGAGCGGTGCTAGGAGGCAGCCCGGCCTGTCTGTGCCAAGCTGCAGTTGCCTTTCCCAGCTACACCACAGCTGCACTCCCTCCTCCCCTGAAGGAATGACCTATATTTGGTGCTTTGAATTTTTGTCCTCTTCTGGGGCCAACTGCAGCCTGAGCAGAAGGAGGAATCGCAGAAAAGTGGCATTTCCTTCTCCTTTCAATGGAGAGCTTGGAGAAAGGACACAGTGCACACAATCCTGGCATGCTGTGTGTTGCAACATGTGCCCCACTGTTACCCATTTCAAAATGACAGATGCCATGAGGGGAAGATCTACAGAAGCTGTATCTCGCAATGTTTTTAATGCTACAGCAGTTCTTGCATGGGGAGTCTACCATTCGTCCACTGGGTACTTTCTTTTGTGCCGACAGTGTGTAGCATGATGAATTTCAGAAATGGACATGCTCAGATTATAAATTAGCTGAAAACCAATTCAAGTCACGTGGCAACTGTGCTCCCAGCAGTCAGGTTCAGGATTCTCACCTCTTGACCACCCACTTGGTTTTTACTGCAAGCCTGGTAAACTGAGCTCTGGATTTCAAGAGCTTTATCAAGGCTGTAGTATCAAGGACCCCACGGGCGAATCCGGACCCACTAGGCCCTAGAAAGTCCTAGCCTCCATGCTTGCTCTGCCTTCTAAGCAAGTGCTCTCTCGGATGGCGACATTGACTCAGTGCCTCCGGCCTTTCCCTGGTGGGTTCTTTGGATCTCGGGCCCAGCCTGGCTTTGACTGAAAATCTGCTTCTGGCTCATTTTGACTGATAACCCTCTCTGGAGAGCCAGCGTGGTGTAGTGGGTAAGAGTGGTAGACTCGTAATCTGGTGAACCAGGTTCGCGTCTCCGCTCCTCCACATGCAGCTGCTGGGTGACCTTGGGCCAGTCACACTTCTCTGAAGTCTCTCAATCTCACTCACCACACAGAGTGTTTGTTGTGGGGGAGGAAGGGAAAGGAGAATGTTAGCCGCTTTGAGACTCCTTCGGGTAGTGATAAAGTGGGGTATCAAATCCAAACTCCTCCTCCTCCTCCTCCTCTTCTTCTTCTTCTTCTTCTTCTTCTTCTTCTTCTTCTTCTTCTTCTTCCTCTCCCCTGGGTCCTGCACCTGTAACATGTAGCTAGTTATGCTAGAGGTTAATTTTTTACAATGTAGTGCAGATCTGGGGGACTGTTGGCCTTCCAGATGTTGTTAGACTCAACAATGCCACCAGCCCCAGCCAGCAACATCTGGAGGGCAAAAGGTTCCTGAGCCCTGGCACAGTGAGTGACGCACTCCCAGACACAAGAGTTCACCAGTAAACAAAAGCAGAACTGGCTAAAGAGCAGGCCCAGATGTTTCTAAAGGCTGTCAGCACATCGTTCTCAAAGTTCAAAAAAATGCTCAGACCTGACAAGCTGCAAGGGAGAGATTCTCAATCTCTCTCTCTCTCTCTCTCTCTCTCTCTCTCTCTCTCTCTCTCTCTCTCAATAAATGATCTCCTGTATCTTCAACAGGCACAGAAAATCAGTAGGTGCAGCCTTGCCCATCAATGTGTTGTCAGAGGCACAGCTTTCTAGGCATGGGTTCCATGCGAAATTCCAGTCCCTGTCCAAGCACTGTTT